AATTAATTTGGAGGATAGTTATCTTTCAATATTTTGAAACAAATTTATCTATTAGAAATCTTAAAATTAGTTTTTATACTATTTAATTATTCCCAAAATGTGCTGGTTACCTTCACAAAGCAGTAATAATTAATTACCGATTTCTTTAAACATTTCCTAGAGGTATTTTTGGTTCTCCAGTAACCGAGCTGATCTGATCATTAAACACTGGTTTAGTTATTAATAAGCGGGTTTAGTTACTAATGAGCGGGCTGCCTGCATGAGCGTTTTCCTGGTTTTCGTCATGTGTTATAATATAACTATGAATCAGTTTCGCTTAAAAAGTTCTCCACGAAGGTATCTTTTCTCTAAGATCAATGTTATTTTGCCTTAATTAGTTAAACAAACAATTACTACTGATTGTATATATTTGACCAAAAATCAACCAGAATGATATTTTCCCCTGTTTAGCAGAGATATAATTTTTTGCTTATTTTTTTAAGAATTGTTGTTACCAAATGGGAATAAAAGTCAGAAATTTTAGATTTTGGTTGCGCACGGTAAAGCATTATGAATCGAATTGAGAAAGAATTGAAGAAAGGCATTTGTATAATTTCAAGGTTTTTCGATCGTAATTGATGGAATATAAAATTATGTCAACATTATGGACTGCCACCATCGCCAATTATGTTATAATAAGCTTTATAACTGATGTGCATATTTGACAGCGGTCTCCCCTAAATTTCAGTTAATTTAACAGAGTGATAATTGAACCAAATTTCTCGGCCAACTAAAGTTTAATACTATAAATTACTAATTAGCGATTGACATATGTTCATGAATTGAAAATTCTCTAAGGTCAACAATCTTGACTTATTTTGCCTTAATCAGTTAAACAAACAATTACTACTGATTTTATATATTTGATCGAAAATCAACCAGAATGGTTTGTTTATTTTTTTTCCCTGTTCAGCAGAGATATAATTTTTTGCTTAATTTTTTAAGAATTTTTGGTACCAAATGGGAATAAAACTCAGAAATTTTAGATTTTGGTTGCGCACGGTAAAGCATTATGAATCGATATATAAAGAAATCGAAGAAAGGCATTTGTATAATTTCAAGGTTTTTCGATCGGAATTGATGGAATATAAAATTATGTTAACAATATAGACTGCCACCATCGCCAATTATATTATAATAAGCTTCATGACTGATGTGCATATTTGACAGCGGTCTCCCCCAAGTTTCTGTTAATTTAACAGAGTGATAATTGAACCAAATTTCTTGGCCAAAGTTTAATACTATAAATTACTAATCAGCCATTGACATATGTTCATGAATTGAAATACATTTTCATCTAAAATTTAAATACGTTGCTTTTTATAATATTTTAGACGTTTTCTTTTATTGCGTGGGTAAAATATGACGTACTGAAGTATCAGTTATTTGTGACCAAGTGTTTGATAATTTTGCAGATATTGGTGTAGTAGAATCATTATTAAGCTTTCCGAATTTCCAGTTTCCTTGAATTTTTATGTTCAGTAATGTTTGAATGCGATCTAAAATACAAGATTCGATTCTTTTAGAGGGAAATATTAAAAAGATCGTCCCACCCTTTTCTTGTTTGTTAGTTAGTTAAAAAGTATATTCTTTGATTGGGAAAAGGCAAAATGATGGAATAGAAGAATATCTGCTATTGGTAACAGCAGCAGTTTTGCAAGCAGTTTCAACAAAAGAATTTTTCTATTATTATCGGTAAAATTAAAATTTGTGTGTTAAAATACCTGCTCATTTTTAATTTTTGAATAATTAAAATAAATTATATTTGCCTTAATGTTCAAGTGGTCTCTTAATGTTCGAGTGGATAAGAACCTTAAACACTGGTGCTTCGACCCGATAATTAAAGAGCTGCCTGCGTGGGCGGTGTCGTGATCTTTCCCATGTATGGCGTGAGTACGAGCCATTTTCGTTAAAAAACCCTCCACGAAGGCATTTGTCCTTTTAAGCAGATAGCTCTTCTTATGTTTTGTATACTTGATTAATTTGCGTTTGCGTCAGTTTATTGGTTCGCCAATTTTTCATTTCATAATTCTTTAGCGATAAAAGCTGCTAGGAAGCTGTACACTTCTTTCAACTGCTGTGTACATTTTACGAACCTCAGTAGTTTATGATTCCCTGCCCCGAAATACAGTAATTATTTTTTTCCTCTCGTGTAATCAATTCAAACAAACGCTTGAAAAGAGCTGGAAAGATGTCTAAAATTGTACGGTTTTAGTACTAGCATTGATTACCTGTATACTATTGTCAAAATTGTCTATTATTCTCTATTGTATATTATTCTCACTATTGTCAAAATTGTATATTATTCAAAAATAATATTATTCTCTTGAAAATTTCCTGTACCTTTGTGTAATTTCCGAATTTAGATCCCTGCATCTGGACATTTTCCTTTCCATGTACTTTATGTTTGAAATAATTTAAGTATGTTCCATTAATTAGAATATTGTGTGGTTCATTTTAATTTTAACTCCATTTCCTGTCAAGTCTCGTTTCATTTCCCTACCAAAATGCAAATTTTCAGCGTGCACGATATTCAAATTAGGTAGAAAGAAGGAAATATTTAAAAGAAGGTTTTGGAGAGTGAAATCAGAGCGTGTTTTGCCTGCTTGAAGGCCACGTTGCTAACTTGGATTCTCTAACGATGAGAATGAGATACCTTCCGCAGGAGAAGAGAAGAATGACCTTCGTTTCTTTACATTAGCTGTACATAAGTCACGTGATCTCTGAGGTCATCTGCATTTTTTATTTTTTTTAAAAAGTCACGTGATCTATGAGGTCATCGGAATGTATCTCATTCTGCGACGTTGACTCATTTTTGCTATTAGGTTTGTGTACTCATTCTTGCCATTAGACTGCTTGATTTCGTCAAAGCCAACTTGCGCGCTAGTTAAACTATGAAGCCGTTAGGCTAGACTTGAATTCATTGACCTTTAGTTTATTCATTATCTTTGATTGAAAGCCAGAAGTTGGCTTCTGTAAGCACGAGTTGATGCCATCTGTTAAACTTTACTTGGTATCCTTTACACCCTTTCCCTGTCTCTGTAGTACTTACAAGACATATCGATAATTCGTATATCGTCTTTTAGAGTTTTGAATCTAGTTTGTTACCAAAGAACACCAAACTCTATAGTCTGGTGTTCATAATTATGTCCTAGTGTTCTAATTGCTCTACATCGTCCCAATATATTTCTTTATAACTACAGGTATTTTTATAAATCAAACAAAATGTAATAAATTTTAAAATCCTAAGAAAAAAATGGTATCCCAAAATAAAGGTTAACAAAATGATGGTCATTTCGTGAAATTTTGCTAGAGCAGGGGTTCTGAAACTTTTCAAGTTTTGTACTACGTAAATATGAAACAAAAGTATATGTACTACCATAAAAGCATTTCGCCAGTAAATATCAATGCATCCTAAATGGAGTGTGTATAATCAAAGAATAAAACCCATTAAATGTATATTATTTAATTCGGAAATGAAACTTTCATATTACAATAAAATGTAAATAAATATACTACGAGTAGTATATTTATTTGTTATATACTAAAATATATATATGTATTTATATTTGTTTTTTGTTTTTGTATTTGATGTTTCTTTTAAATGTGTTTAATACTTAATTCATGTACTACTTAGTTTGTTAATTTTTTACTCTGAATGTATTAAGACACGCAAACACGTCGGGGAAAGGGGCAAATCTATTGAGACTTTTATCATTTTAGTTTGAAAAGAAAATTGATTAAAATTAATACCGGTTAGAGGCTCAATGTGTTTGCTCGACGAAACGTGTTTGCGTGGTCTTGGTTAATCAACTTGGTTGGAGGCTTTAAGCACTTTTTTTCTTGTTAAGTTATGTTTGAGGCTTTGAACAAGGAAGTTTGACTTTATTACTTTCGTGTGCGCGTTTTTCATTTTTATGTAGATTTGCTAGGAATTATCGTTTTTTTAAATATGATTTGTCACTATTTTACATGGTTTTTCTGGAATTTGATTGGATACAAAAATGTTTTTACGAACTTTGCTAGGTTCCCCTCTCCTATTAAAATCAATGTTTAAAAATCAGCAGCTGTGAGTGCTATTTTTGACCTACTAGGTCACTCGGTTTTTAATACCTTTTTCTACTTTTTACGATATATGTATATGTATATATAAATTGTGGTAAATAGTGAGTAGTAATACATATATTAAGCAAATCATATAGTTGTACAAAAAGCAAAGAAGGCACTTGAGTTACAGGGCCAGCACTGACAAAGATACTTTAAAAAATATACATTCTGTCTTTTCGGCATTTTAGATATTACAAAATTTTAAAAAATGGTGAATGTTGTGAAATTTAGTCAGTTTTCTTGGAAAAGTCGTCATTTCAACATTAAAACTAGAGCCGTAAAGTTCAAAAACTTGAAAAATATATGTGTTCCTGAATAATAAAAATTGAAACAAAATGTTAAAAGGGGCGCAATTTAGCATTCATTTTGAACATTCATTTAATTTTTTTCTGTAAAATTGAACCACTACAATATTTTAATGTACCACAGTGTAGGAACCGGTGTGCTAGAGCAGATGAAAAATACCTGAGGACATTGTTCTCATATGATGAGAGATGCTGAACATTTGATTGATAATGTTCCTGCTAAAACGGCAGAAGTTTTGTCAGACTGTTTTAGGAGTGCTTTCAAGATTTATGTATTTACTCTCTATTATTTCAGAAATATAAAAAGATCGTTTCACTCTGTAATCCAACTTCCTAATTAATTGTGAAATTAGCATTTTATGTCGGGAACGTTCGTTTGTGAAAAATTAAAACCGTTTTTTCTCTTTATTTTTAATTGAGTCATTAATATTTTATATTCCGGTTATTTATAATTTTTTATTCAGGTCTGTTTTTGTTTGACTGTTTTAAAGAAAGGTTATTGACAATTACGAACATTTCCTAAACCATATTCCTATCTTTTTCTTTCAGTTCTACCTTTTGTTGTGCATTTGCTGATGGACAAAAGGTCTTGATGCGGAACTTCAACCAGAAATACGATCCCAACACCTTGTGGCTGATGGCAACACCAACATCGCTGGACAAATTGAACCTATCAATTAAAGATATTTTTAGTATTAAAAATTCAATCATCTCTCAAATATGGATTCATCAACTCTTGAAGGCCGAAAAAATGTGGACATTAATGACTCAAATTCTAACAGAACACCATATAAAACTGTCAATATTAGTGATTCAAAGTGTGCTGATGTAGAAAATATATGTCAACGTAATAGAACTCCTAGCTTATCCTCGTCAGATTCTTCAAGTAGTAGTGAAGCAGCAGTATCTTCACTTCCTGTGCCACCTGATGGTGGCTGGGGGTGGGTTGTAGTTTTTGCTTCATTTATGATTAATTTCATTGCTGATGGAGTATCACTATCATTTGGAATTCTGTTCATTGATTTCGTGGAATATTTTGGAGCAAGTAAAGCTAAAACTTCATGGGTCGGCTCTATCTTTTTGAGCATGCCATTATTGGCAGGCCCCATCGCAAGTTATCTCATCGATCGATATGGATGTCAGAAGATGTGTATATTGGGTGCTTTGTTATCTACAGCATCCTTTGTCGTCAGCATTGTTGCTGATTCTCTTGAGATACTCTTTCTCACATTCACCGTTGCTGGCCTCGGGCTTGCACTATGTTATGTCACCTCCATAGTTGTAGTGGCATACTATTTCGAGAAGAAGAGGTCGCTTGCGACGGGCCTTGCAGCTTGTGGCACAGGCATTGGCACATTTTTATTCCCACCTTTCACAATTTATCTCTTAGAGCAATATAATTGGCAAGGAACTCTTTTGATACTCTCTGGTTTCTTTCTTAACATGATGGTGTTTGGAGCTTTGATGAGAGATCTAGAGTGCCCTTCTAAACCGAATGAAGATAACAAGGCAGAGGATTCTGAAAGCTGTACTTTAGAAGATTCTGAACGCATGTGCAGCTCTTTGGTCCAGCTACCCACCTACTTGTGTGACAACCTGCCTGTTGAAGTAATATCTGAGCTCTCCAGTAAAGAAGGTGGGTATCTCAATTCTCTGTTGGAGCAGCACCCCTATATTTTAGATTCCATTATGACAAAAGACGAAACAAATTCTGGCGATTCAACTTCGAATGTGACCCAAAACACTAAAGCAAAGAGTGAAAAAAAGAAAGAAAAAAGATCAGTACATAAGAGTTCAAGAAAAGCCAATCCGGATTCTGTGCAACGAGAATCTTCCTTTCCTGGTAAGCTGGATGCAGCTTATCTTCGCAATATAAAAGTACAAAGAGGGAGCATAACTTACAGAGGAGCCATGCTAAATATACATCGCTATCGACTGAGAGCCTCTAGTTGTCCTGATATTTATCGTAACAGCATGGTGACAATCGCAGAAGAAAAGGTATGTTCATGTTTTTCTTTTCTTTTCTTTTTTTTTTTTTTCCAATAAAATCTATTGAAAAAGGCATCCTTGTATTTAGAATGTATAATTCCGATTCTGAGTGCCATGAATGTGGTCAAAACACTTCGGTAGTCATCTGTGATTAGCTTTGTTCTGAATCTTAGAGATTCGCATATACACCTTTCAGTATTGAACTTGATGAGATTTTAGTTTTCTAAAAAAAGGTTTTCTGCATATAAGCAAATTAGTGATGTTAAAAAATATTACGCCTATTTCTTTCGGAAATTGGTTGAATATATTTGATCTAATTTTTTACTAAGTGGAATGTAATATGTAAACACAGGTGAATGAAGAATTACTAGCAAATTCTAATAAAATGGAGGAATGAATGTATGTTTAGCGAATATAATTTATTTTTATTAGAAATTAATTCATTATTTTTTTATTCCTTTCCTACCTTGAAAGGCATATTCAACTTAAAAAAGGCTCGCATAACTTAGCTATTTTGTAACTCGAAACTGAAATTTTTGTGGTTGCTTCTAGATAATCATGCCTCTAAATAGATTTCAAAGTTAAATACCTATTTTTACGAAGTATTTGAAAATATTTATAGAATACTCGTAGGTATACTGAAATTTGAACTTTTATAGTCTGCTGACATGCAGTTTCTGTAGTATGCTACTTCAACTGCTACACTTTGTGCTATCACAGTAAAAAGCACTACAAAATGCATTCCTGATATTAGTTCAACCAAAAATAGGTTTAGCTGTAACTTTACTGCTTGCATAGAGCATGGTATTTTGCATATTATGATTCAAAATTATTGTCAGATACTTGGGTAAATATAGCCTACATATTGATCTCAAGTGTTAATTCAGGTTTATTTTCATTTTTAAATCTTTGCATGAGTATCGTTTCTATGTGGGCTATCATTCCAGAATTTATATAATGTTTTTAAAATTACAAATCAGTATATGTTATCAGTGATTTATGTAAGATCATGTCACATTATTAGAATCATCTGCTTGATAACCAGAATAACCTTTTTAGTATCACAGCAGCCAAATACGTTGAGAGCGATGCAGTGAGGTACTGACAGAATGTTATAGGAATTTGAAGCCAAGCAGCATGCAGAGAATCTTCGAATTTGGGGTAGGTTGTGAGGTGAAGGATCCATGTGCCAGAGATGACTATCTCAAATATTCTATATGAGTTTGAGATTTTTAACATGAGTATCACGAGTTTAAGAACTTCTAGAAGGCCAAAGAAGTATACCCATTTATTATGGCGATAGAAATATATCTTCCTCGGACAACTGTTTGCGCTGAAATTTTATCATGTCCGTTAACATAAGTACATCTTAGCGTTAGACCAATTACAAACGAACTCAAGTTTCGAAGATAATATCATAAATAATCCAAAATTATATCATCAGTATTGTAAACAATACTGTAGAATACCTTTCGGAACAAGGACAAGATATATGTGAGCAATAACTGTTACGGAAACCGCTTTATATTGGTGTACAATTTTTTTTAAATTAATAACTGAATGAGAATGTTTTGTAAAGTTTAGACGAAGCTTCTGTAGGATCTTTCACTGAATCAAGCATCACGTAAGCTTATCCCTGTCCTGCCTTATTCCTCCATTCCCTCGATGATTCGCTTTTGGAATTCGTAGGTGATTTTAAATCCTCTGATTGTCAAACTCTATGGAAAATTGACATAGGAAAAGCACATTGAATTCCTTTCTGCTAGATGTGAAAGAGCTATTAATGGTCTTCACTAAATCGAAAAAGTTTTTTTGGAGTAAGCTATGAAATCAGAAAGTAATGCATAAGTAGTATATTGTGTCTTTCAGTTCATATGGCTCTCGTGTTTGGGAACATGTTCCTGCGAAGAATAACAAAAGGAATCTAATAAAGACTCGATAAAGAAGTCTTCTTCATATTATCAGTAGTTATAGGATACCGAGAAAGAAAAATACTTTTGTACTTGCAAGGGTGCCTATTGATTTTGAAATTAAGTATAAGAATAATATTTTCGAGTCAGTCTCAAAGAGAAGTGTGGAAGATTACGTAAATGAAAATTTTCTCTTTTGGGTGATCCAGCTGTTTTAGAGTTCATAAGATTCTGTGATAGTAAAGATACTGCTGAAAAATATTTTAAGGTTGTTTGTCTTGCAGATGGCAGTAAAATAAATAAGTTTATTCTGGCATTCGTTCGTTCTTTTTAAAGACCAGTCTAGAGTTTATGCACTGTAGTCGAAATGAATGTACAGTTTTTCAGACAGATTTTCTTAGTATTTATCTTGTGATCAAGTAGGTAAAGAATATTCGAGCTATATGCTCAAGGTACCTTATTTTTTTAATTATATTTCTTCCCGCCGCTTTCTGAACAATGTTACGAGCATAGACAAACTGGTATTCGAAATTTGCTTAAAGATAGGGGAATTGATATTCATTTGCTTACGTAGGCAGTCATCTCGGTATATGTGGAAATGAAAGAACTGATTTCTTTGCATAAAATGCTTTAAATTTGCCCACTGACGCCAGTATTAATATCCCTTAAAAGATATTTGAAGTCTTTTCATTATGACAAGCTAAGTGAAATGAAGAATATACTTCATGTTGTAATGCTGGACGCACAAAAAATTCTTTCCTTTTATTAACGGTAGTCTATGTTTCGAGCCTTTATCTTTACAAATTTTAAAGTATTTTATTTTATTTTATTTTATTTTTATTTTTATTTTATTTATTTATTTATTTTTCCTCTTGTAAATTTGCAGATTATCTGTTTCATTTCAGTCTTAGATCAAGTAGCTTGTTTGTGTTTAACAAATGCACCTGAAGAGTGGAACATGTATTATTTTTTACATTATCTTATTTTAGTTTTGATGATGTTAGAATATGCCTGCAGAATCATTAACAAAAGAAAAAAAATTAGAAGTGACGTGGCTGCTAGTGAACTTACCTATTTTTAAGCTGACTGTTTACTCTGTTTTTGTTTGCTAACTTACTTCATTGTAAATTTGTTGTGTGCAGGGAGTTTATATTTGTTAAAGAAAAGTCCCTTCAGGAGTCCTTCATAATTTTGGCCGTATGGTAGGTCGCCTTATCATACGGGAAGTTTGTCTTCATCAGGGCAGATAATTAATGTGTAAGTGCCAAGTCTCAAGAGGTACCCATATACATTCAGAGTACCATCTTTAGTATCAAGAATCTCGGTAAGTGTGGAACTAATTTTCTAGACAAATACTGTTACAGCTGGCCTGTGTTCAATCTCCCTTGTTTCCGGGTGGTGAAGCAGAGTTCGGCATTCGAACGAGAACGCAATTTTTTGCCATTTTGTTAATGGTATAATGTGAGGCATACAAGTTGCAAGAATAGCAAATTACAGGCACTTTCTTTATTGAATTTTCTTAAGGATCATTTCTGGTACTAGACGTAGACTGCAAAATCGCGTACGCAACAAAGATTGTTGTGAAATATTCCTTGGATTGTCGAAATATTCCTTGGATTTAATTCTGAAAGCTTCCTGTTTCATTTAAAGGATGAAGTGATTAGTAATTGTGCAGCGAACTGTCTTCACTAACCTTCGAAGACACTTCTCATTTCTGTCAGTTATTGGCTGTTGGCACTGCGCAGTTTAATCTTAGTGTATCGAAATTATGCGATTGATCCATCCAGTACGTACGGCAACAATTCCCAAATCGTGTTTCTTCAAACTTCTTGGGATTGGGCGCTCGGCGGCCAGTAATTACACCCTTTCATAACTCAAAACTTCAGCCTTTTGATATCGGGATTGCTACATGTCTTCTGTCGCTGATCAACCACATGTGATGTCAGAAGTAGGTGTTTCTAATAATGTAACTCGACCCTGTAAATGTTAAATCTTGAAAACTTTCTTTAAAAGTATATGCACGGACATGCAAATTCCTCTCCTTTTTTTCAGAAAATCCCAGGTTTATGTAGCCACGTTTCGAAATTCTGTAAAGGATTGTGGCTGACAAGAATTCAATTGAGGTGCGATTTACTAAGGATCAGCATTGTTCAATATCTGGAAGGTAGTTCAAGATTCATTTCAAAATGTGTGGCAAATACCTCAGTTTGCCAGGTGTTTACAAAAGCAGCTGTATTATATGCATGATCAGAAATGATCTAACTTTGCGATTAACAGTCTGTTTTTCTACGAATAACATTCTTGTTGATTTTTGAATGCTTGCTGTTTTTGCATGTTATTTTTTTTTCCACTGGGTAGGAAAGGATATGTTATTTAAATAAAGCATATTATGGCTACTCATATTTTAACAGTTGGAATGAATTTTCAAACTAAGTGCATTGAAAAAAAGTCAGCAACAAAAAATATCCTGTGTTAAAAAAGAAATTAAAAATATGACAGTTATTGCTGTTTGAGCGGCATTTAGATATGTTTATTATTTTTTTCTATATATTATGTCATCGTTATTGTTTGAAAAGAAATGGCACACATTCTTATGGCTAGATTAGAACTGATCTTGATGAATATACTAATAGTTATGAAGTAGGATATTAAATTTATTTATTGAGCCAAACTACATACTGAAAATGAGAAACTGGTAAGAAAGCAAGTTTAATTTTGGTACTCTCTTTTGATTATCCGTAACCTCTGTTTCAGCATTCGGTAGAATTCCCGTGCTTTTCGCATATTTTCAAATATACATGCAGCAATAGTCAACTTGCCGCGTATGTGTAGTACACGGTATTTGAGAACATATAGATTTTATACGCTTTATATTCAATTGAAAGATGTCAATCATTTGTAAAAATAGACCAGCCTCATGGATTTTTTTTTAAATTATTGTAATAAAAATATCTTCTTTCTCATAAAATGCGTTTTTATTACTGTATTCATATGCTAAGTATTACATTTCAATAAAAATTTTTATTTTATTTTCGAAATTGGATTGTAGGAATCAGCACCTGGTCTGACAGACATTTTAAAAAACACGGTCAGACATTTTAAAAATTATATAAACAGACTTTTAAAAAACACGGTCATAAGACCATATTGAAAAACAGAATGGAAATACATCAAGCATAGACTTTTATCAAGCATAGTGTTAATTAGATGAGTGTTGATATATTATTCCTAACTAAAAAATACATCGTTGATTTTCGTAGTCGTGATTAATGTGATTTCGAATGAAAAAAGAGAGAATCACTAGCGTAACATATATAATATGCATAATTGAAAAATGAATCTTAATTAGATGATTGCATTTCTATAGTAGGAACGTGTACAGTTTTTCAATCTTTACTTAATGTATTTATTTAATACAACCTTGTACTCCAACGCCTGAAATTGTTTCACAAAGTTAGGTCGAGATTTTAAATGCCTTTATTAGAGATTCATGTATTTATAATGTGGTCATGTGCTGTATAAATATAATAGACTTACTTTTCCATTAAAATATAGTTTACAACTTTAACTAGTTTTCGAGAGTTAAAAGCATTGTGTAAACACACAAAATCTATGTTTTATTAAGTATTCGTTAAAATAATAGCAAGTTTTCCCTGAGACTCTGATTTTAAATCATTTCAGAAAGAGAAATGTACTTACACATTCAAATAACTAACTATCAATAGATGATGGTAAATTTATATGAAGAAAGTTTGCTGTAAGAGTTACTATTATACTATAAAATTATAGTAGCATACACTCAAGAGCCAAAACATTATGACCAGCCCTACATTTTGCGATGAACGCGCCTGGATGACGTGGAAGGCACGTGATCAGGTGGAAGTGGTATTTAACTGCTGCTGGAGAGTCTGAAGAATCATTCTTTCATTTATTTTTGTATGTGATGGGAAAGGCCAAAACATTATGACCAGCCCTACATTTTGCGATGAACGCGCCTGGATGACGTGAAAGGCACGTGATCAGGTGGAAGTGGTATTATTTAACTGCTGCTGGGAGAGTCTGAAGAATCATTCTTTCATTTACTTCTGTATGTGATGGGAAAGGCTGCGGATCTAAGTGACTTTGATAGAGGGCAGATTGTAATGGCTCGAAGGCTCGGAACAAGTATTTCCGAAACTGCACGACTCGTGGGTTATTCGCGATCTACAGTTGTTAGTATGTATGAAAAGTGGATGAATGACGGTGAAACCAGCAGTAGACGACGTGGTGTTGGACGTCCACACGCTATCAATGAAAAAGACGGACTGTCTCGCATGGTGAAGCAAAACCAGAGCCATACAATGGCTCAGCTGACAGCCGAATACAGTGCAGGGCCAAGAAGAAAAGTATCGGAGCACACTGTTCAGCGGACACTGTTGGATATGGGGCTACGCAGCAAACTTCCCACTCGTGTACCTTTGCTGACCAAGCGTCATCGCCAACTGCGCCTGCGCTGAGCCCGGGAACATCTCGACTGGTCCATGGATCAGTGGGAGAGAGTTGCCTGGTCAGATGAATCACGGTTTGTCATTCATCATGCCGATGGCCGTGTTAGGATACGCCGTCTTCCAGGCGAACAGTTGCTCCCTCAATGCACAGTAGGTCATACACAGCCCGGTGGTGACGGTATTATGCTCTGGGGGACGTTCTCTTGGATCCGTGGTTGTGGTAGAGCAGACCATGAATCCTACAGAGTATCGGAACATCATTGAGGACCAGTTGAACCCTTACATGGCCTGTTTTTCCAGCTGGAAATGGAATGTTCCAACAGGACAACGCCCCGTGTCACAAGGCTACAATTGTGTTGGAGTGGTTCCAGGAACATGATGCTGATTTGCAGTCAATGTCCTAGCCGCCTAACTCACCGGATCTCAATCTGATAGAACACATTTGGGATGTCATGGGACGGCAGCTCAGAGGTCAAAGACCACCAATTCGCAATATCTCGGATTTGCGTGACCGTTGCTACAACATCTGGTACAATCTTCCTCCAGCCATCTATCAAGGACTTGTGGCATCCATGCAAAGGCGGGTTGAAGCTGTGTTGCGGTCCAAAGGTGGCCCAACTTGTTATTGACAGGTGGTCATAATGATTTGGCTCTTGAGTGTATACAATAACTCTATGTACTACTATAGTGCCTGGATATTAAAAATATAGCTGAGTGCAACATAGTTTTTGATATTTCAACTCCTCTAGAAAGCTATAAAACGTTTGAAGTTTTTGAAGAATTTAAATTCATGGGATTTACAGCTGTGAATGGGTGATGGATTTACCATTTCATATTTTGAAATAACACATATGAGCAATAAAATATATTTTCCAATAATGTTGTAAAACTTTCACTTTCATTTATGCTTTCTATCTAAGTAGAGAGAAAAAGCAGCGTGTTTCCTGTCGAGTTGTATCTAGTTTACAAAATAATGTTTAATTGGAAATTCGCTTTAAAAGTTAAAGTTGAGGAACTGGATTTTAAAAAAGTATTGTTGATATTTGTTGCCCATAAACAAATCGTGCATGATTTACAAAATTATTTTAATAAAACTAAAATTGTCTTGCTGACATATTCTATAAAGTTATGACAAGTTTTTTCGTATTATTTATTAATCATTTGGATTTTTACATTAATATTTAATCGACAATTTAATTATATGCATTTAAATTTTAAACAATTTTGCATCATTCTGTGTATATGGTACTAATTCAATGTTTTTTGACTAAACTTGTTACCTCTCGTATGCTGTAAGTGGATTATTCAATTTCAGTTGGTAAAAGAGTTGTTCAGATGAAACAAAAACTAAACTAAATCAAACATCTGGTGATAATATTCACCATTAGATTATAGTATAAGTATGATGTTATTTTTTTTTATTTTTTTAAATTTTTTTTATGTGATAGCGTAGCATGATATTGTGTTTGTATGATAGGATACCATACTATACCATCTGTTGTAGGTGATTGGCTTCTTGCGTTCATGCATTTATCTCGATAATATGTGCTTGTACTTGTGGCTGAGAAAGAAAGGTATTCATGCATTCTTCAGGCTTCATTTTTAAACTGAAGTGTAAAAATATGCAAACTTTGTTCAGATGTGTTGAAATTGCACCTGGAGGCAGACCAGAACTGCATGAAGAATGTTGCAGAGCTTCACTTTCCAAGCGATTCAGCATTTCCTTACAGCTATGAGCAATGTGTAGCACACATGATCTTGCACCAGTTCCAAACTAAATTTCACATAACCTGAGTATTGAGTCTTTTTGCTTTTGTGGATATTGTTCTAGCATCTATTAACGGTAACGATGGAACCTCGGGCGGAACAAGGACAACCATTCGATTAAGCAATGAACTTGCTTGCAGAGATGGACTAGATTTCGGTTAAATAGGCTAGGAAGAGTAAATTTAAGGGTTTGCAAAATTTAAAGTTATAAATATCAATGAATTGGAAAAATCAAATTGATAAAAAAGAACCACATACTTATGAAAATAATTTTTATTTTGCACATGTAGCAAAAGTCTGATAATGCAACACGATTGAGACTTTATATCGGAGACTAAAGACTTAATTGTCGGTCTGATTATCGGACTAAAAACATATTCTGTATATTTAATGAGAAAATATTCGAGCAAATAAATTAATAACTTAATAATATTTTAATAAATTTTAACTGTGAAGTCATCAATACTGCCATTGCTTTAAAATCTCCCCAAATAAAAATTAGATATATTTTTAGATCCATTCCGTAGAATGTTAATATTTAGGTTATATATATATATATATGTGTGTGTGTGTGTGTGTGTGTGTGTGTAAGATATAACAAAATATGATGGCTGCTTTAAGAACTAATTGGCGACCTCAAAATTAACTATTCTAGATTTGGGGTTCTCCCCCTAAATTCAGTTGTTCTCCCAAATTCGAGATCTTTCCATGTTACATAACAACTTAAAATTAACCAATCACAGCTTAGAGTACTTTATGCATCTACTAGGTATAAATACTGCTCACAGGAAACTAGGTCATCTTTACGTTTCCTAAATTCTGCTCTGCGAACATCGCGCTGCTTTATCTAGCTAAAAATACCTATGTCATGCCTTTAAAACCCAGTGTATATGAAATAATTATAATTGCTTATGATCAAAAAGTATATTGTCTACGAAGAATGATTCTAAATGCGCCTAGAAATAAAGATGGTTTTTAGGCTGAACTTGGTTTGTGTCAACAGCTTCCTACCAGTCCACTCAGCCATTTAAGACTGCAAACTGTTAAAAGTTCCATTGGCGTCTACGCATTTAAAATACTACATATATATATATATATATATAGGAATTCTTAAGTACTGTGAAGATTTATTATATATCTTGTATTATATTTGTATCTGCCTCATGCCACGTGATACTTTAGCTGAATCAAAGTCTTCGTCATTTTTCATTTCTTTTGCTATCTTAGTATTTAACACATTTTGCATTATGACGTTGTCCCTTAATTCGCCCCCCTCCTCAAATGGTTCATTTTTATCCCATAAATCCATTCAACAGCTTTTTCAAAAAGCGTGATCAATGAATTGTTCAAGAAATGCTTTCAACTGTAGTGTGTTTGGTCATTGGATCATCAATATGTTCTCGTCCTGCGATTGAATTTTGCTTCATAACACTTAGCCATGGATTTCCATCAGTTTTTTTTTAAAGCATTAAAATGTTCCAAGCAATAGCAGCCGTTAAAATTGCATCTTTCGTAGTGAATTAAAAGCCATTGACGCTACAGTGAGAATTTATTAAATATTACACGCACAATTTTCTGCAGTTTATATAAAATATAGAATAATTCCTTGATCATTATTTTGAATCATCCATGTTCTGGTGTATTGTTGGAGTAATAAATTGCCGAATTATCGGGTGGGCCAGACTACTGGATTTCGGCTGTATAGCTGCACACGCCTGATAATAAGAGTCATTGTATATTATTTGAAAAGTATAAAAATTCTTTGCCCTTATTCCTGAGATAACATCAGCCTGTTGGTTCTTCTTCTACTGAGGAACAATAAGTTCGTCAGTAGAAAGAAGAACCAACAGGCTGATGTTACTTAACTGACATAAATTTCCCTCTAATCCTGCTCGCCGCTATGGGATACGTGCAAACAAGAATTTTTTTTTTTTTTTTTCCCCGATTTAGGAAGTTTTCTGATTGGATTCATTATTTGTGGTATTGATGTAATTATGAAGTTAAAGCGGGTTAAGTTCTGTTGAAAGGTGATCTTTGAAGACGAGAAATTTTGACACTAGGAAAATGTAGGTTTAAAGTTGTTTACGTGTTTTAATTTTTATTTTAGTAATTTTTATCTCTAAAAGTTTTGACAGAGTGTGACAGATACTTGAATGAATGTTGGTGCAAAAGACTTCAAAAACCTGAAAAACAATAATAAGCTGTTAAGAAATATAGGAAATTTATTTAGTTCTTATTATTAGTTACATATGACGATGACTAAAAAAAGCGGTTGCAGATTGAAGCTTCAATCATCAAAATTAGCAACTGTAACAAAACAATAAAATTGAGCAAAATGCATTCTTATTGAAGTTGGTAGTGTGATAGGAAAATATACGAATATAAATCGACGAGTCGTTATCGAAAATGAAAATGTTTTCAGTAGAGTTCTATTGAGTTATAAACAAGTCATGCTTCGATTACTTTGTTGTTCATAAATTCAAACAAAATAGGGAAATGAATTTCCATCAATCTAATCGAACTTATCCTGATGAAACACGATGTTTGAATTCTAACATATTGACTCAAAAATAAAGTGTAACGAACTTGGTTTATAGGTGCAGAAAGTATCGAATAAATGTGTTGTAGGGTGTGACGATTGCAATTACAAGATCGAAAGACTATTAAGATATGAATTAAAAATAAGATAAGCGTACTTAAATTTTAATAAGTAATTTATTCTAAATTTAAAAATTAGAAGATGCAAAATATGAAGAATAATCAGGTGTTCAAATTGCAAACTGGGCATAAAATCATTTTACAAGAAGAATTTGCTGAAAAAAGAAACTTAAGAAGAATCGTTGCGGTAGTAAAGAACAGTGGACTTCAGTGGTAAAATAATTCTTCCAGCTAAATAATTTCGTATGACAATATAGTTAAGTGCTGTATTCGATCCTCTTTTTTGGCAGTTGTTTTGAAAAATATAAGCAATTTTTCTTTACATGCTAAATTATTATAGTGACTTAAGCTCTCTTAATACTATTCATTTACAGCTAATTCTCTGGTCATACAGTTCTTAAATTTTTCCCTGGTTCATCTCCTACAACCAAGGCGAAACAAAACACCATTACATCCTTTCTGGTATTTTGCATACCAGAAAGGATCGTCCGTAACGCGTCTAGCGCGTTCAAGGGAAACTTCTGCAGGGCGGCCGCAACGCGCTTCAAGCGTTCTTCTACATTTTAAAACTTTTAAAAGTTTAAACCGCTTTGTAAATGTTTACTTGTTTGGGTTTTTATTTTTGTTTGTTCTAATACTTCCTAGAGAGCAGTACTAATCATGCATTCCATTTATAATTGAATTTTTCCCCGGGTTTTATGAATATTCGCGCCATTTTACATAAGATACAAGACAGTGAGAGATCTTCAACGTCTACTCAGCAGAGGAAGAGAAAAAATGAGGTTGTGAATTGGAAATACAAGAAGGATATACGTTTGATGAGTGCAGTCCATAATAACTCTATGATTGATGTTGAAACACGGAAAGAACTGTAAAAAAAAACCAATAATTGTAAAGATTACAACAACAAAAAAAGGGAGGAGGGGACCGCCTGATCAGATGTTATCAAATTAATCCTGCTGTTAGAAATAAGCAGAGATATTATTACTTTTCCATTATGCTTTATTCCCTTATAATTTTACTTAATATTAATTTATATTTATCATAACATCAAAGTTATGTATGTACAGAGAAAACAACATTACACGCTGCGAAAAACAAAGGGCCGCTGGGGAGAAATTTTCGCGGACGGGAGAGGACGGCGAAAGGGTTGAAGAATATTGAGCAGTCGAGCACCTACCTGAGATAAAAAAACCGTTTGTACTGTTGTGGTATTTTCTTAGATAAATTCATCATAAGGTGAATCGGGGAAAATTGGGTGGCAAAACGCCCACATATTTGCTGTTATATTGGGTCATATAAAAAGTCTCCGCGCTTTTTTGGTACATTTTTAAACAAAACTTTTCTTTATTGAAAATCAATTTTAATAAAGTACATATTGACGATTATTATCTATGATCGTTTGTCATTTTTCGCTTCATAATTCCATCGGTGTAGAACTTCTGTGGTTTATCGTCGAAAAACTTGGGCGAGTGATTTTCAGCGTCTTTTCAGTCAACCAGTTTTTTTTTACCATCAAGAGGGTTTTGCAGAGATCGAAGAAAATGTTAGTCAGACGGTGCAAGGCTCGGGCTAATACGGTAGATGCATCAAAACTTCCCAGCCAAGTTCTGTCAACTCGTTCCGAGTCATCAAAGATGTCTGTGGCCGCGCATTGTCATGATGGAACACAACTCCTTTCTTTTGGCCAATTCTGGCAGCTCTTCTTGTATTGCTTCGTTCAAACGGTCGAGTTGTGCACAGTACAGGGTTGATGGTTTCGCCAGGTTGCAATTTATGTGGCACCCAAACATTGAGCTTCTTTTTGCAACCTGCTCTTTTTCAAATGATTCCAAACTGTCATGTGGTTGATGTTTTAGTTCCTCTAATATTTCCTGACAGCTTGCGTGCCGGTCTTGCTCCACCAGTTGCAAAATTATATCGACTTTTTCAGTGACTGGCTGACCAGAGCCAGGTGCATCTTTGATATCGAAATTTTCGGAACGGAATCGAGAAAACCACTTCTGGGTCCGGGTCCTTCGTTTACTCACAGCATTCTTACCATACACTTCACAAATTTTTCGGCATGTTTTTGCAGCCTTTTTACCTTTTTTGATATTTCACTCATTTTCAAATAAATATGACTTTTTACACAAGCAACGAATTAAAAAACTATTTTCACAAACAATGGAAGCCGAATGTCACCTTTTAAGCACATGTTCGTTTGAGACAATCGGGTGAGTGTTGCCGGATAGACAGGCATCAACACCATCTAGTGACAAAAAAACGCGGAGACTTTTTTATATGACCCAATATATTTCATAATAGCTACTCAGTGCAGCTGCATCATTATTAAACAAAAGTAATCCACAGTTTTTTGCCACTTCGTTCTGATTCATTTGAACAACTCTGAATAATGTGCAATTATGATTTACTAAAAACTTATTAATGTTTTATTTACTTTTTAGCCTTGCCTGTTCCTCAGCGATTTGAAAGATCTGATGCTCGAGATGTTTGATTTTACCATTTTCAAAAACGTCGGTTACACTTTATTTTGTATATCTAATTTTCTTTTGTATGCATGTGTGGATGTACCATATGTGTATATTCCAGACCATGCCCATTCTAGTGGTACTGACATGGAGAGTGCTTCTTTCCTCATTTCTATTCTTGGAGTTCTTAACTGCCTTGGTGTTGTAAGTATTACTTATTTTATAATTAGATTTCTAAATTTTGTAAGCGCCATTTAAGGATTTTTTTTCTTTTTTCAAATGTCAGTTTTTCTGTCCAGTCCATACAATTTTCTCTTTGTTTTTGGTGATTTGTTTATTCATTTAATGATTGTAGTCAAAAACCAAATTTAAACAATAAAGTTACTTCATAACTATATTTTGAAAAGATGTTACAAATAATACAATTGCTGTTGCTTTTTTTTTTTTCATCCATTTAAATTGTACTTTACTAAATTCGTTTATATACCTATGAAATAATTTCAAAAAAATGGTCCACTCACCTTTATCATATTTATCTTATTATTTTATTTTATGTCAAGCCTTATAATTATATATTCGTATAATTTATGCTACAATAACTAAACTTTTCATATTTTGTAAATACTTCTTCTAGGAAAACTCTTCACATTGCTACTGCTGTCTTAACAGCTCTTGGATTAATTTGATTCTTTTATGGTAACCAACAAGCAGCCAGTGTCTTTATTAAAATATAAGCGTGTGAATAAGCAAATTAGCAATTCCTTTTCATAAAAATTCTTCGGTCCATAAATTTTGGAAGGAAATTGAATGCATTTAATCTTGAATCTAATTGCAAAATACTAAAGAAAATTATTCATTTGCAGAAAAGTAAACATTCGACGAAAATGTGATATCGAATATATCTAGCTCTAGTCTGTTACTTTAAAATAGGCACTCTAGGGCGTTGCCAGTCCTCCATTTGCGATCAGATATTGTGTTATCACAGCGCAGCATTTATTTTCTCGACCTCGTCTAAGACGTAATTTGAGTCGGCTTTCGCCCACTTCTCATATTTAAATAAAATAAAGTATAAAGTAGGGGGGGAGGAAATTAAGCGACTCGATCTTTTTTCAGCAGCTGTTGTTACCATGGTTTATAGTCAAAACGGGCAGCTGAGAATAACCTTAAGTACCTGCTGTAAAGTAACATAAAGATTATAGTTATAGAATGTGATGTTTTTTTGGCAACAAACAGTACTTTAACAAAATCTCATATGACTGCATTTTTGGATTCGAAAAAACAATTATAAAAACTTTAGTAACCTGTACCATAATTGTGATAAGAGACCTGCACTTAAAATTCTGTAATACTTTTTTGGTATTTAAAATTAGTCAAACGGCAGTTTTAATTTGACGTAAATTTTGAATAAAACGCTTATCGATTTTAAAAAGCCGATCATAAATGAGTCTCTCATCTCTAGGAGAAAAACATTTTTCGTAAAGATGGGAGGAGCAACAACCATTTTATATCGGAAACAGTAAGCAATGCGAAAAAAATGTAGCTCCGTCTAATCGGGAAAAAAGTAGTGAAACACAAAAAAGTTGAGATATTAGAGTTCTGAAAGCATTAGAAAGACTTGCATAGGAATCATTAACAAAAATAAATTTTTATCTTTATTAAAAGCTTTAAAAAAAATCGAATTCACCATGTGAAGAAGTTTTATAGATAATTTTTGCTCCGCAACATCAAAATTTTGATTGTCTAACTATGATTAGCTATAGTGTAAGATATTTCTCCCACTTCCCTAGCGTGCCTTCGTGGTGTACCGGTAGCACGCTGAGCCGGTATTCCAGAGGTCCGTAGTTTGATTCCCGGCGAAGGCGGTTGCATATTTTTCATCATTTCTGCTTCCAATTAACCTAATGACTCTACAAGTGGCGCCCGAACTAAAAGGGTTGTGGATGATGATTCTCCGCACACAGGATTTGGCGAGTAGGTCCCTTAAAACACTAGTCGCCCTTTGAAAAGGGGAGTATATAAGGTATTTCTCCCACTTCCCAGCGTGCCTTCGTGGTGTAACGGTAGCACACTGGGCCGGTATTCCAGAAGTCCGTGGTTCGATTCCCGGTGAAGGCAGTTGCATATTTTTCATCTCTTCTGCTTCCAATTAACCTAATCACTCTACAATAGAAGGTTTATTAATTTTTCTTTTCAAACTTAAGATTCGCATTCTCTAACTCAATTTGAATGCTCTTTTAATTTACCCTATATATGTTAAACTGCACTGATAAGATATTCTAAAAATTCCCCAAGAGTTAGTCAGATATGCGATACTTAAGAATCAACACATTTTATTGACAGGTGAAAAAGTGACTTGAAAGATGAATCTGAACAATTTTGTAGCTGATAATATATGATGGGTTATTAATTAACGGTCGGCGGAGATACCGTTATTTAGGCAGGATTGTCATGTATCCTTCTGGAGCTAGCATTAAATGCGCATATTATAGTGTAGGGATATATTAAATCACTTTGTAGGGCATTGGTGCCGTTGTGGTTCATTACTTTTTATTACGCTGTTTTCAGGTAGCTAAATACCCAATGCTTAGCAAAGACTCATTACAAAACATACACTTCACAGTAATGCGCTTTCCAAAATACTCTTTCCTTAATCTTTGCTGTCTCTTTATATCGGAAACAGTAAGCAAAGCAATGCGAAAAAAATGAAGCTCCATCTAATCGGGGAAAAAAGTAGTGAAACACAAAAAAGTTGAGATATTAGAATTCTGAAAGCGAATGTCCTCAAGTTTCTCGTGAATGAGCGCTCTGACATAATGTTTTACTTTCCTATGCATCGGTTGTGCCCAGACTGGGCCCGCATCTTTTCGATGACAATTGAGTAGAGTTGAGGATTTTTTTGAGTGTGAGAACTTAATCCACAGTTGTGTCCTTGAAACTGCCTGAGCTTTCATGCAATGTGGCCGATGTGTTGTTTAAGGTTTTTAATTTAGGTAATCGGTGTTAGCCTTTTGTCCCACGTGAGGTCCAGGTATTCTAATTATTTTACGATTATGACCCTATTTCCATTGATGGTGATTCCTAGAACAATGTTGATCATTAATTCCCGTTTTCGGAATTATAAAAACCTTGGATTTGCTTTCTGAGATGGTAACCATTCAGGATGAAGTTTCTCATACTCATGAGTTCATGTGTAGTAAGTAAATTTGCCTTCTGTAAAGCCATATTATATGCTCACTGATTATGTTGGTTTTGTGTAGATGAAGCTCCTAGTGGTTGACTAGGAGCTTTTCGTAAATCTTCCCTAGTGCTGAAAGAAGGCATATTGTCAGTAGGAATCCGGGCTAACTAGGGTCCTAGTTGCGTTTGTCAAAGAATATAACTTGTCCGATTTTGAAGAGGTCGTCATATAGAAGCTTATTGAAAATGTTAAGAAGAATCTCTTAAAACCTTATGAATAATTTTGAGTATTGCATAATCTGTACCATCCGACCAGTAGCTTTCTTTTTTAGAAAAATAAATGAAAACTTTTGTCATCTGCTGAGCTGAATGCTATACAGGTTTCACGAATGCGCTATTGCGCTGTTTTATTTTCTAAAAATCGTCTACTGTAAAAACTGCATCCAAGATACTGTTGAGTGTGCTTGTTGTTTTATTAGTCCGTGCGAAAACGAAATTACATAGGATTGAATATTGGTAATGATTCTTGTGAAGAATTTTCCATGTTGTAGGTATTCTTAGTGCAGAAGTGTCTCCATCCTCTTATGCCTCTGGCATTAATGATGATTATATTGTAGACTGCTCTCTCTTTATTATAGGACAGTGAAGTAGTTGCTAGAATATTCAATCGTGCCTTCGTTTTCAACCTGCGGCGTAAGTTGTGCATTTGTTTTGCTGTGCATAAACAAACAAAAGTTCAATCGACAATTTAGTTCAAAATAAGAAAAACCTTCTTACCTGGTTTTTGATACGACAAGATTTTACGATGCTAATTGAATTATTTTAAGACGGTAATCCTTAATTTTTACAAATATAATGAGACGATTTTACATACTCGGCGATACACAGCGCATCTTAGCTACGTAAACACACTAATAAAGAAATGAGTTATGGTTATACCACTAATACTTCAAATTTTCGAGAGTTGCTTTTGATTCAGTAAATCATAGAATGGGATTAGAAATAAAATTTAGTACCCTTCAAAAGTTGTTTCGAATGTGCTGAAACAACTTAGCTCTTACAAGACCCTGAACACCAATCTAGGCAATTTTCGTTCACCAGTAAATTAGATTTTCCTCTTGAATCGGTGTAACGTAAATAAATCATAGCTCTTTAGGCTCATTTGCTTGCATCTACAAAGCAATTAAGTATCGAATTAGTTAATTTTTTTTGTATCGTTTAATGCAAATAAAGGCTGCGGTAACTTAACTTCATTCAAGTAATTGCTTTTCTATACGCTTATCTTCGTGAGATCTGGAGGTAAGGGATCATCCCAGTTCAGTCTTCTTTTTCAAATTCCAGAAGTATAATGATCCCTTGTTTTTTGCGGTTAATGGGGACCAGAAACTTCCACGAAAGCTGAAAAATTGCGAAGTAGGATTTGCCCCTAGGAATTTTCTTGTATGCAGGTACAATAATGTTTTAAATATGTAAACAATATTTATACTTTACACATTTAAGACAAAAATTACAACAGTATACGTATTTACTTAAACGTGTCAGTACTAATTAATAAGATAATTGCAAAACCTTATACAGTAATAAACATTAATCAACATTGCTAGTCTTGTGTTGGTGGCGGAAGAGAGGCTCTCACTTGATTCGTAGAAGCTTTAGGCTCACTCGGAGACTCTTCTGCTGGAGGCACTGATGGTACAGCCGGAGGCTTTACCTTGGAGAGAAACGTGGTGATGGGTAGTTGTTGTCTTTGTTTTTTTCTTTTCCTTCAAAATTTCCCTGTACAAGGATATAACCTCGTCAACCTGATTGCTGAACTCGACAGCTCGAACCATATTGTCGTCAATGTCTTGTGCAAATTGTTGCATCGCTCCTGCCATGTTGCACAATTGTTGGAGATTCTCCAGGGTAAGGCCACGCTTTACGGTTTTTTCTTTGTCTTCCTCTTCGTTTTCTTCCTCACTTGCAGACTTTGTCATCTCAAGGAGGTCTTCATCGGTCAGTGGGTCCAAGTGGCTATCGATAATGGCACTGATGTAATCGTCAACTGCCGAGATGTGGCTCTCCATCGTGTAACGAGTGTAGAGTGCCTTAAAGGAGCCAATGACACCTTTATCCATCGGCTGAATTAGAGATGTAGTGTTCAGGGGCAGAACTCTATCTGCACACAGTCATACTGCAGGTCCATTGCATGGCCTCCTGCATAGTCCATCAGGAGAAGGACCTTAAAGAGGAGGCCCTTTTCAGCCAGATACAGCTTCACCTGGGAAATGAAGCAATAGAGGAACCATTCAAGGGTCAGAGCTTTCGTTATCCAGGCCTTGGAGTTATGCATCCAGAACACGGGCAACATAGCTGTATTTTGGTTTAATGCCCATGAATTTTTGGCTTTATAAATAAGGCCTGGCTTAAGCATAAAACCTGCAGCATTGCCAGCCATGATGACAGTCACACGGCCTTTGTGAGCCTTGAAGCCTGGCCTCTTCACTTCGTCCTTGAAGAGGAATGCACACGAAGGCATCAACTTCCTAAAAAGGCATGTTTCATCCATGTTAAAAACTTGTTCAGGGACGTAGTCTCCCTTAGTAATGAGGTTAGGAAACTCTCCCTCCGCATAACGACAAGCAGCATCGTTGTCAGCAGAGGAAGCCTCACCATACAGAAGCACGTTTCTGAGGCCATATCTTTTTTGAAATTTTTCGAACCAGCCTTTGCTGGCTGAAAAGCCTTGTCCTTGAGGAGGCGAATCACTCTTGGCAGCGCTATTACTGGCTTGAGGTTCGTCAGTACCTTCTTCAGCCTCTTCATTGTCGTCATCGAGCAAGATTTGGTTGTAGACAGCTTTGGCCTTTGTCCTGATCATATTAGTGTCCAAACTCACTGTCTTTTTCCTGCAATCCACAATGCCAGTTTTGCTTCCATTTTCATAATTCTGTTATTATGCAGACTTACCACACATTTCACTTCTTTATTGAAGGTTATTGAATCAGTTTTGCAGATGTTTGCTTCCTCTTTCTTGATGTACCGCACTGTAGATTCATTCACCCCATAATGGCGTGCCACAGATGCATAACTTCTGCACTTTTTCGCATGGTCATCATTTTCTTCCTCTTGGGCACCCCGGAGGAAGCTTTTGCGGGAGCACAGTGCTTAGGCGGTATTGTAAGAGCTTAATAAAAATTTATCGCTTAAACAAAAAATCGTTGTCGCCAACACCACACTAAAATACAGTATGCGAGACAGTCAACATCATGGACAAGATTGGCGAGATGCAACAAGAGAATATGCTAGTTGAGGCTGCGATGATGCGCAGACAATCAACTCGCAGAGATAAATCCACTCTTACTCTCATTGGTCAATGTCGCACCGGAAATTAATCGTGTGCCTTTATGAGAGCCCGTGGTATGTATTCTGAGTCAACTCATCTCTTTGGTTGTATTTTTTAATTTTTATTTTTTGAGGAATATTTGGAAAAACCCTCGACGCACTGAAACCCTGAAACATGAAGCGCAAAGTGGCGAGGGAACACTGTATAATTTTCTGTCTCACTGTAAAGATAAGCTCAGTTAAATCAAATAGTTTATCAGTTTCTTTACCAGAGCTTTTAATTATCGCTTTGGAAATACGTGGAGTTTTGATAGCTTCTAAAGTTTATAAACTTTCCTCAGTTTTACTCTCGCGTAATGGTTTGTTGTGCTCTTGGACAGAAAACAGAAATAAACATTCCTATCCTTTCAAAAGTCTCTGCAGCCTTGTACCTTAGCACTGATGATGATAATTTTGTAGACTGCTGTTTATTTAACTGTGAAATGGTTGTTTGAATATGCATTCCATCATCTCTCTGTTTTCAACCTACAGCACTGTGCTGTGCATTTGTTTTGCTGTGCGCGGAGATCCTTAATCCACAAGTTAAGATTGTTTAGTTTGTTTGCCTTCACGAGAGTATTTCCTCACATGTGATTTGACGAAATATGAAATAAATAATGGAGTACGTAGGGGGATCTGTTGGGGTGGGAAGCCCCTTGTTCTGTGATTGCTGTTTGAACAGTTTTGTACTTTGAGCTGGCCAGAACAACAGGAGCAGTGCGTTTCGTGTTGCATGTCTTGTGCGTATGTTCGAATTCTTGGCAACTGTAGTATACGCCGTGGTGCAAAATGAGATGTGACATGCTGTGCATTTTAGCCGTTGAGGATATAGCATTGTTTCATAATGTTGTTGAATGCTGCTATTGGCATTCTGTGATTCATTTGACGTTATTGTTCTTGGTCATCAATCTTTAAAGTATTTCTGCATAGTTTTCGGCTACTTCTGTGTCTAAAATATGTTCCAAGTAAAGTGTAATTGGAGAATGACGTCATGGATTGTACACCTGGGTGGCCTTTGGCAGGAAGTGGTTTGCCCGAATGTTGACACCTCTCCTGTTAGCTCTGATTGCAGCTTTCTATTCCATTGTATTACATTCCACACCAAATTCTTGATTCTGGATGAAGCTCATTAATGGTTTGTAAACTTTCGTGCCGATAAGCCGAGATTTGAATCCCGAAGAAGGTATGGATGTTTGTAAGCATATAGTGTCTGTGTCACAATGTAGCACTGAAGCTGCACAACGAGCCGATAGCCCTCTGGATATGTTGGTGATAGGGTAAGAGGGGTAGGAAACCGTCGGACTACTACCCGAGGTGCTTTCCCTCAAAACTGGGTGGAAGCTTAACAGCTAAGCTCAGCATTATCACCTATGGTACTACAGAGGTGCTCGCCTAACTTCTACCTGTACTTGCATTGACTTCTACCGCAGCAGCAACAGTACATAACATGGGGGTCTTCACATCCTTGCAATTATGAAGGCGATTATCAAGTTACTATATTTGCAGTTATTAGTTAAAAAGTGTGGTAACCACCCAGGGCGCTAAATAGTAAAGTACAAAATGATTGAAATATTAAAATTTCGAAGGCTGCTATATGAAAACTATTGAATAACTATCTAAACGTCAGAAATTAAAGAAATTGTAATAGCCAAACAACTTTTATGATTTAGCAAAACTGGAACGAATTTCAAATTCAGAAAAGATTAAAGAGAAAAGATTAAATATCTCAAAGAGAGATAAAATTAGATTAAAAATCTCACCAGTCTTTAAGAAAAAAAAAATAATCCACAATGTGTATTGTCCTTGTTCTATGTCTGATTGCTATCAAAGTCGATAGTTTAATTAAAAATCTAGGCCAAATTAAGAATGCTTTTTGCCTAATTTTATATTTTGCTTTGGTACATTTCTATTCTAGTTGGCGTATTTCTTTTTCTTTCATATGAAATAATTTTCTGTCATTTATTTAGAAGTTTGTAAATTTACCAAAATATAAAAAAATATTCATAATATCAACTTGAACTACTTCTTTGGAAATTATTATAAATTTTTTATTAATATAATGCCACTGTCTATTTTTCTACATAAAAACAGGACAGTTTAAAATAGATGTCTTGCCTTCATAGTTTAGTAATTAAATAACTTTTAATATATTTATTTAAATATTTAAAATTGTTAAAAGATACAGATGGGGGATTGTCTTGACATCTTGATTATCAGAAAAATTAGGTATTTAAACAACTGTTGATCAGAAATGCATTTAATTGTTTTATTGGCTTATTGGCTTATATGCATTTAAGAGTTTTATTATATGCCTTTTCATTTAAACTTAAGTTTGTTTTGTAGGTTATAGTTGGTTTTATTGGAGACAAACCATGGATAGACTCATCTCTTCTGTATAGTGGTTTCATATTAATTAGTGGCGTCTCTTTAGTGCTGTTACCACTAACAATAAATTATTACATAACAGCTTCACTCGTTGGGATATATGGCTTTGCCATCAGCGCAAATTATACCTTGGTTCCCGTAATTATAGTGAATCTGATATCTCTGGATAATTTCACTGGTGCTTATGGACTTCTGTTACTTGTTCAAGGTGTTGCTAGTCTAATAGGACCCCCAGTGGCTGGTGAGTATTTTTTAATGAATATATATGATGTGTTTAATGAGAATTAAAGTTTCTTCAATACTTAATATAGAATTTTATATGTATTTTGTTTTGTATTAACTTAATTAAATCTAGTAATTTTGCAATTCAATATAAATACATATTAGCTACTTTTCATAATTAAACTATACTGCAATTTTCGTGTTTCAAATATATTTAATTTTAGTAAATGTGAATGAAATATAAATTAATGCATATGAACGCTTCAGATTATTAAGTTAAATTATGTCCGATTATCAAAATTTTGAAGGAGGGAATTAAAATTTAGGTCATGAATTTAAAAAAAAAAATTTTTTTAAACATTTTTGTAGAAAGTACATGTCTTGCCACTTCCAAATAATGAATTAAATGTACTATTAAATTCCCAATCTACAATAAAAAATTTAATTAAAATTTTTATAAAGGCATTGGTTAAATCTTTAAATCCCCCACCCCCTTACAGGTTAGTTTTGGGGAAATTATTTTTAGAAAAATAAGTGCAAGCTGTAAATAAATTTGGTGAAATTTAACTTAATTATTCTCTCTATATTAGTAAATGGGTGATATTAAAATTATATAAAATATTAAATATAATTATTTATATAAACTACAAAACTATGCTTAGTCTGCTTTTTGTATGTAACCGAAACACAGGCATACGTTTGAAGAGAGGTATTAAAAAAAAAACTAGTTAAATGATTATGCTATATGAGCCAAAGGCATGTGTTAAAATAATTAGAAATATCTTAACCATATAGACATTTGAACTACACATATGTATATATATCCATATATATATAATTTATTATTAGAAGAGTTTTTATATATCATTAGTATGAAACATTTATTGAAAAGATGCTGATCATTATACTCAGTGTCTGTAAGAATGATAGACCGATATATATATAAAATAAATATGTTTTTTTGCATTGTGATTTTTAAAGCTGGAAGGAATTAAAAAACTTTTATACTAAAGAGTGGTCTGGAGTAGACTTGAGACCTCTTTAAATTTATTTGTGGTGTTTCTCAACTAGACCTATTTAATTTTTTTTTTTTTTTTTTTTGTAGTATTCGCCAACTCTACCTGTTTTAAGATTTCTTTCCACAGGGGCTTGTGAAGGAAAGAATGTATACAATGTCTGTGGTTGATGCTGCTGCAGATTTGTATGTCCACAGACAGAGACAATAGGATAATACAACTGTTCAAGCTAGTGATGCTTTCAAATATGTGGAATGAGACCGAATAGTCCTGCCACAAGCAAGCTACAAATGGCACTCGGCCCACCAGCGGCCGAGCGGTAAAATCGGTGAACAATGGTAGTTCAGTCCAAGGTTAGAATCCCACGAACGGGCTGGCTGCATGGGCGTTTTTGTGGTTTTCCCCATGTGTAACATGTATACGAGTCAGTTTCCCTTAGAAAGACCTCCACGAAGGCATCCCTCCCCTTAGACAGACAGCCCTAGTGTGCTTTGCCATAATTAAATAAACCAAACCAAAACCAAATGATACTCACTAGAGCTGTACTAAAAATTTTGAGTAGTTCTTTCCAGCTGGGAATAACAGTGCAGTAAACACATTGATTTTGGATATATATATCATTCTTTTTGGTCAGTTTCTTTTCCAGACTCTGTGTACATCGAAAGAATGGTACGGCAATCTTTACAAAAACAGTATTTTTAAGTTTTAAGTTGAACTGTGTATTATAAGATAATTAATGAAAATTGTTATTACCACTTCATGCAAAATTATTGCATTTAAGTCAGGTAATCTGATGCTATCTATGCCATTCAATCCCTACTGATTATTAAAAATATCAGTTACATAAGCAAATCAAAATCCACAATTTAACATCAAACTTGATTTGCCTTAAAGCTCATACTAGCCAAATGGGAGTTGAATTTGCCACGAATGCTTGTCATCAAACAAGATTGGTTCAAAGCATTCAAAGGTCAAGTTTCATTCAACGTTCATTTTATCCCTCAAAATAAAGAATAAGTGCCTCTTCCATAATGATTACTTACATTTATATGTAACAGATCATTATCCCTTTCTTTTCTTTATAGGAAATTACATCCTTCATAACTGTGTATGTTAAAAAAAGAGGATATTTGAATCATTATTATGATTTCCTCCATGCATAGCATGAATATAAACCAGTTTCCCTTAAAAAATCCTCCACAAAGGCATTCTTTCCCTTAGGTAGATAGCCCTTATTTGCTTTTTCATATTTGAATATGTTATTCAGAGGCCAGTATTTAGAGTAAAGAAGCCATCGTAGGACAACACACTTTATTTACTCAAATAATGAATAAAAAAGATCACACAGGAAATCATACTGACCATCAACAGCAAATAACATATCACCATCTCTATACGCTCAAATGACGGATGTGTCGGGAGAAGAGACAGCTGCGCCATATAATTAATACGCAAGAAAAAAAGTTCACTCGCCTCTACCCAACACACCCCTCCTGCGAGCAACATTTTTTCAATACGAAAATGAAGTACAAACAATATATAACGCATTACATTAAGAAATTATTTTCAATGTATACATTAATTTTTCTTTACTGACACTCTTAGTAAGAAAATCTGCAATCATATAATCAGTTTGTGTATATTCCAACTTAATGACATTATCCTTTGTTAAGTCCTTCATAAAATGGAAACGTAAGTTCAAGTGTCTGGATTTCATAGAAGATTTGGCAAGTTGATCCACTGGATGGCAGCTTGACTGTCTGTAATCAAGACCCACCATTCAAAATTGTTTACATTTAATTCTGATAATAAATTTACGTCCAAATAATATCCTTACAAATTTCAGAATAAAAATTTCTGCTTCACAAGTAGACAGACTAACACTTCTTGCTTACAACATTCCAAGAAATCAATGAATCGCTAGTAAAATAGTAACCAGAAATGACTTACCATTTTCTGCATTTCTCCAGCTAGCATCCAGACATGCATTTAAAACTCCAAAATCATTGCTATAAGAAAGTTTTTTTTTGGTCCTTTTAAATACCTTAATACCCTTTAGCCAAGATAATGCCTTTTTTCGGTACATGATTAAATGTGACAAATAAGTTGTTACAAATGATATATCAGGACGCTTCTATTCACTAAAATAAAAGTTCCCCAATTAATTCCTGATACAAAATTGCATCAATTTTTTCATTTGTACTGAAAAAACTTATCTGGCCCTTTAATGATTGTTGTTTTTTTGCTTTACAATTTTCCAGATTGTGTTTAGTCAAATAAAGATTCAATATATTCTGTTTGAGACAAACATATACCATTTTCAAGATTTCTATTGCATCTCCAAAAATTTTTAATTAGTATTTCATATAACTCAAATACATTTTAATTTAGAAACAATATTTCAAGCATTTTCTTATTATTACAGAATACAGCTAAATCATCATCATACAACACATATAAAAATGTGGATATCATTATAAATGAATATACGATTATCAGATGCTACTGTACCAGTCCAAGTTTTTCTAATTCAGTTTTATTTTCATATACCAATTTCTACCCAATTGAGACAACCCATAAATACTTTTCTTCAATTTACATACTTTTCCTTCTCCAATCAGTTTTTCATAACCAGGTGGAGGAGTCATATATACATCCTCGTTTAGGTCACTGTACAAGTATGCTGTTTTTACATCATAAAATTTAACAGTCAAGTTTAATTTAGCTGAAAGTGCAAGCAATAATTTAAAACATTCAATGTTAACTACTGGTGAATATGATTCGGTATAATTCTGATTTTTTTATTTGATTAAACCCAGCCGCTTTATATTTTACTTCCTCAGAGTCTCCTTCCTTCAAAGTATACACCCACTTACTTTTTACTAATTTTGTTTTTTCAGGCCTCTCTACTATTTCCCACACTTCTTGTTTATGCTCCATATTGTTCCAATTGTGCCTGTGTTTGTGAACTGTTGTATTAATGATTTTTCTTACAGGTGCGCTGTCTGATTGGACTGAAAATTATGACATCACATTCTACTGCACTGGATTATGCATTATAGTTTCAGGAGCTATGGTTATTCCTGTTGCCAAGAATTTCCTGTGTTCTAAATCTCCTTCTGTGAGCAGCAAAGATTCGGTTCCAGTAGACTGTCATTCCATGAAAGTAAGGTTTGAAGAACCCGAAGAAAGAAAAAATTCGGTTCATTTTGAGAACAGATTGCAAGAGTTAGAATCTATGAAAGAAAAGAAACCTATTTATATTCTGAATGATGATACAGAAAAGTCTGTACCCTTATTATCTGAGGATATTAAAATGTGCGAAAATAATATTACGAAAGATGGATCTAAAATGGTTACTATGTATGAGAATCCACTATCCCTTGTTTAGTAACTTATCTTTCACACTATTGTTAGAGTTATATAACTTAGTAGTTAGATTTTTATGTCTGTTTTTATGTACTATTCATTCCTTAAAATAAAGACTGTTATTTAAAAGTATTAAACTGCATTAATTCTTAAACTGTATTCTGTAGCATAGTTGAATATGAATGTATTCAGTTAGTTATGGAGCTTGTAGTATTTTTTAGTAGTGCTTGCTTTATGGATTTTTATATATGCTGTGTTACTGGTTATGCATTTAATATTCCTCCCATTTAAGGTAGGTCATTTTAATTTTTTTAACCCTACATTGTTTTCTGTTCGCATTTTGTTTAATTAGTATTTTCCTTGCATTTTTTAGGTTTAGAATTTCTTTCTTCTCTTTGTTGTTGAAATGGACGAGGGAAAATTTATAATTATTCAAACCACATGCTTTCAAACTTTAAATCCATATTAATATTAAATGGCTTTTAATGTTTCAGTCTAAATGTTGTAGTATGCGCAGTTTAAAATTTTTGCATCTTTCAATTTTATTACAAGTGTGGTGACTGACTGAAAGTAAAATATTTATCTTACTTTAATTTTAAAATCATTTATTTTTCATCATTGTAAGAAGTCATCAGAAATGAACACTCTTTCATGTTTTAAATTTTTTCCCTTTATAAATTTTCCCAATTCCATTTCTTTATCAGATGATAATTGTCAAAGAAGCTCTAGTCTTGTTGTTGAAAAGCTGCGATATATTTTTCACTTAGTGCAATTAAATGTATATTTTTATAGTCATATTTATGATTTATAGTATTCTATAATATATTGATCGACTTCATTTTTTTTTTCTGGATCTGAATAATTCAATAAAATTGGTGACACAACTTCAGGTTACCTCTTTTGAATTAATTGATGAAAGATGCGTATGAATAACTGAAGAGGTGTTTATGGTTTGTGGATTCTCAAGAATTTTGATGATATAATATTTTGATGTATAGGTATCAAATATTTTGATTTTGATGTCTCAAGTATTTTGATATAGATCTGCTTTTATGTGTATTCTTTGAGAAGTACTTTGCATAACAGTTGAATAAGTTTTTCTTATGAAAATAAGAAAAAATGATTCATTCATTCATAGTTTAATAAACATTAAACTATCACAATAGTACATAAAAACATTTTTATTTTCTGATAAAGACTATTAATGTAATTTTTAAATTATTGAAGATTGTGTATGATTTAGGAAAGGGGTAATTTTTATGTTGTCTGACTCTTGGCGTTTCCACTTGGTGTGGAATTTTCTAACAGAATGTTAAGTGTATGCCGAAAGTAAAGAATGTGCATTTATGTGATAACTAGTTATGTATTGAAAGGAAGTAGTAAATGTATCCTTTGTAGAAGAATTCCTCTTTCAGCAACATACATCTTCATTAGTTGGTGAAATTTTAAATTTTACTTTTAATTCAACATTTTTGTTTGCTGTCATGTTAAAAGCATTTTAAGATTCTTTGAAAAAAATTTCCTTCTTATGCCAGACATTTGGTTAAGCATTATATAATCAAATTGAGCAGTAAAGTAATAAAATAGGAAGTAAAGATCAAATCATTAATTTTTGTATTAGAGTAATAAATTGTGAAGGTTGTTTCTGCTACCATTATGCATGCATTGCTAAAACAGATTGTGTGTCCGTGTATATTTACTTTTTCACAGGAGTATTTTTTGTTCTATAGTCAAAGTAACTAACTTGTATTAGTGGATGGATAAGTTATGGAGAACTAAACACGTCAAGTTTATGTCGTCATAATTTATTTTATTTGGTTTCAAATTTAGAAATTTTTGTCATCGTTTTAACAAATCGTTGATGCGTTACTGTTCAGGACTAAGAATTTTGACATCTAACTTAGCAAATATTTCTCTTGTTGCTACTAGATCCCAGAAATTTAAATATTTAGTCAAAGAGCAAGTTGAGCCATGACCAGATTTATCATGGCTTTGCATATATTAATTATGCTATTTCTATGATAGAACAAATTAAAATTGTGATGAAAAAAATTTTTGAAATGTGAAGCCAGAAATGTTAATGCATCTCATGAAAAGTTCTCCCATATTTATATTCATTTGCATATTTTGTAACAAATAAGAAGCCGAAGGAAGAGAGCTTTCAAAATTCATTTTTAATAGCAACATCTGTATTTACATGTATGAAAAATTTAATTAAACTTCAAAGTATGAAAATATTTTTGCCTACAATAATTGTTTGATGTAGTTGTTATTAGCTAGTACAGATTATAATATGGTATTAATCAAATCCATTGTTAATGCATTACAATTGAGTATTTTTTGTCTTTAAGAATGGGATTTTGTAATTATTTAAGAGCTGTGGTAGAAAAATAGCTATAAAGTATGTAAATCTATTTTCTTCTATATCGCATATATTTTGTATTTGCACTTGTATATATAATGCACATTTCTTATTTTATTTGTGCATGATGCATATGATTTATTTCATTGTATCTTTAAGGTTCCATAATTACTAGATATTTGCATGTATTGGCTGTGTTATAATTTTTTTAATTGCTTTTTATGATTATCTGTAATTTCAAAGATCTGTATTTAATTTTTCACTTTTCATACTTCTGAATTTTCGATTAGTTTTGCATTCGGTTTTGAATGTTAATTTTTGCTTTTTCATAATAAATTATAAATAGGGTATTTGAAAATTTTCTTGATACTTAATTTGGTACTGTTCCATTATCGGGACTGGATTCAGAAACGTATGTATGTATGTACATACATATGTATGCCTTGTGTATGCACATACATACATAAACACGTGCATGCATTGATAAGAGAGGGTTTATAATAACTAGTTAAAAACTATAAACCCTTAGTTTACAAGTTTCTAACTAATTAACTAATTTTAACTAGTTTTTAGATTTTTTATTAATAGCATTTGACACTTTTGTGTGTGTATGTATATTTATATATGCATTATTTGTGCAGTAGTGGTGTCATTTAACATATCTTTTATACTGAAGTAATTAATTACGTAATTTAATAGCATTTTCTTTATATAATCTAACAGGACTGCTATCAGTTGACCAGTTGTTTAATTCTTTGTAATGAATGTTATCTGCCTACTGAATCATAAGTTTTTCACATGTATATATACTATATAACTCTCTTAGTGGCATGGCTTTTTGGATCTGCTTATGAAACATTATATTTAAACAGTATTACTCCCCAAAAATTATATAATTTTTTTAATCTCTGTTTTCATAAACTTGGATAATATTTAGACCATTAAAGAACACTAAAAATTTATTTTAAGCAAGAAGGTAATATACTCCAAAATGACAAAAAAAAAAAAAAAAAATCTCGATCTCACGATCGTACACATGTTGTTATGCCACTTGAGGGTTTACTAACCTTTCTCAGTGTTAAATTACTTATATTGTTAAATACAAGACTTCCAGATTTTCTTTTACAGAGTTTATAAATTTTAATCATTTATTTTTAAGCTCCATTACATGCTTTTTATATGAAACAGTTTTATAGCCTTCTTGTGTTGTAAACTATATAATTAGTTCCTTTATGTGCAGATTCCTCATGAGAAGTTTGCATTATTTTTTTTTCCACAATGCACTTTAAAGTATGTTTATTTTCTAGAATCTCTGAATTTATGTACTTCATTTTAATTGTGAAAATTAGTATTTTTTGTGTGATATATAAATTTTATTCTTTCTTGCATGACATTTATTATTTCAAAACATAAAATATGATATAACTTTGATTTAATACTACTTTATGAAGCAGTTTTCCATGCAATAGATAGTGTTGATTAATTGGTAACAAAAATCTGAATTTTAAAAGAATTTTCTAAAAAAAATAGATTTTTGGAATTTATTTTGCTTAATTTTCCTTTCTTTTGTTCTAATAAGTGTTTATTATTTTTAAGATCTCTTATAAGTTGAAACTCATTTTTATTTATTTTATTTTCATTTTAAATGTTGTTATATGCACCGATATTCGCATACTTGTTAATTTTAAAGAAAAGGGGCTACCTCCAAATTTTCAGGATAAAATGTAATAAAATGTTATCTGGAGCTTTAAAAATTTCCATTTAATGCTACATCAAAATAGTACTTAAATACTCGTCTATATTTTTGGAGGTTTTTGTTATTAATTTTTCACAACTTGTGAAACATTTCTAAATTATTAAAAGAAATGAGAAACTAAATATTACATTATAGTAATAAAACGACAAAAGTCTTCAATGGTAAAAATAATATGCAAGCATTTATATCCAGTAAACAGTTAATAATTTATTTCATTATTAATTTGAAAGAAATGGCCTCCTCTCTAAGTAATCTTATTAATAGCTAAAAGAAAAATTTATCATTGCAAATAAAACTTTTAATGTATTACCGCCTTAAATTTCCTTTCCATGTATCTGGGTATTAATTAAATATTTTTATATTAAGTATTTTTTAAGTAATAAGTGTTATTAAAGCAATGCTCTGGCATGTATTAAGGTGTTTGAAAACTTTCTATTAACTAGGTCACTTTATAGGTTTTTCCATTTTTAATCAATGTTTTCAGAACCTATTGTTTTAAACTACTTTTATTAATAAAATATCTTTTTTCGTCTCCTAAGAATTAGTGATGCAAATATTCTGTAAGCATGAATAGTGCAATATTTAATAGGTCAGATAAATTATGATTTTACCCAAAATGGAATGTAAAAATGTTTAAAAAATAAATGTTTCTTCCTTTTGGAAAAGTCTGTAATTCCGGTTTAAAATTATTTTTCTAAGACCTGAGTTATAAAATTTTTGTAAAAGTTTACCATTTTAGAATATTAAATAAGGTTTTAATTTTTTTAAAATCCAGTCATTTTTGAAGAAATATCTGAATATATAATCAGATTTAATTTATAGTAAAAGTTAAAATTCTTTGTGGTATTACATTTGTTATTCACAAAACATATAAAAATTTTAAGAATTTTTTAATATGTATATAATTTTCAAGAAACACTTTTCGAAAACTTCACTTATTTCATAATTTATAAATGCAGTTAATGTTTTACTGATATCTAAATGAAAAGATTTCAGACACACTTAGTATTGCTTTTCCAGTGTGTGAGATATGGGTTGTGATATGTTTTTTTTTTTTTTTTTTTGTATACTTTACATTGAATATTTAATCTTGAAATCAGTTTTATATTTTTAAATGCAAAATTCTAGTTTACAAGCATTTATATTATAGAACTTTCACCAAGATTGGATTTTTATTAGCATTTATGGCCAGTGAGTGAACTATGTCATTTTAAAATAATGAAGTATGTATAACATTTCAGTTAACCCTAAAAAATGTGTGATATGTAAAAATAAAGTATATAGATATGTTTGAGGCAGTATTAAAAAATGCAGATTCTAACAAGAATACAATAGCAAGAAATTGAGGTAAATCTTTACTTAGTTTCATTTTTTATGAAGATTTACCTGAATTGCTTGCTTAATGAGTTACAGTTTTAATGTTTAATGGAGGTATTTTTATGAATAATAGTGGAAAAAGAAAAAATCTAAACATTTAGAACAAACCTTTTCAAAATGTGCTTTGATATAGAGTAATTTCAGAAAGAACCATCTGATTTCAGAATCAGCTCTTTTTACGAAAGATATTTGCTTATATGATGTTTATTAGGAATGTCAGTATGACATCAAGCAAATGCCAACTTGCATAGTTTTCTGCTATTATGATGCCATTTTTCACTTTTTCTTGACAGACTAGTGCCTTTCCTGTACTCCACCCACCCAATATAATAAAATTTGGTCATTTTCCCATTCCATTGTTCATTTAATACTTATCATGCTATCTGGTTAATTTTTAAATGTATAAAAACTTGAAATCGGATGATTCTTAATTACCCTATATTTTATTTTAAACATTTTCTTTTTCCAGCAGTATTTTAAGTAAATTAAGTTTTATTTGAAGCATAAGCGTATTCAGTTTATTTAACTGTTTTATTTTTAATTTTTTAGCATTGTATAGTGTGTGTTCTTTGTTTATATTATGTGTATTTTTATTCAAAATGAAGAAAATGCAGAAGAATGTGATATTGATACTAATGTGCCTATATTAGGCTTGTGCCAGTTATGTACAGGTAAATTCAACTGATCTCAGAAAAATCTATGTAGGGTCTTTGTATCAAAGGCATGTATTGGTTTGTATCAACCCAACCTACTTAAATGATCCTATTTTTGCACTGTGTGTGCTTCTTGAAAGACTGGAAAGTAATATGTGGCTGAACAATAAAACGTGTTTGTAAAAGATCGATTGCCAACTTGTGCTTTGTGTCTGTTACCTGAAACACCATCTTGATGTTACATTTCTAAGTGATTCATAATCATGCATTTGAATGATATCTTCATGTCATAAAAGTATTGCACTAAATAAATAAAATGTTGTGTATATTTTGGAGTTATTTTTTTGACTCTAAAGAAATTTTTTGTTTTTAGTTTGCACTTCTGTACTTTCTCCCAATTTCGCATCTAATCTTCGTCACGATTAAGCACTTTTGTTCCATAAAAGTTCTAACATAGCGTAATTCGGCTAGCAGATTGTTGGGAAAAAAATGTTGAGTAAAAAAAAAGCCTTTACTTCATGAAAACAAAATGGCACCCAAACAAAAACTAGCAGGTTGCTGTACCAGGGTTGGTTGCCAAATTTTTGCCAAAAAATCACCAAGTTACCATAATCCAAAGATTAACCTCAGTTTTATACAGCTGTGGGACTTTGTATGAAACCAAGTGTAGCAAGACTATTCAGTATTTTTGATAAAAGCTTTTTAGTATGAAGTATTTTATTGAGGTAAATTTTTAAACAGTTAGCCTTGAAAGATATATAGTTGATCAAAAATACAGCAATGAAAAATAAATCACAGCTATATAAAATCATGTTCAGAAAAGTTTAATGTCATACTGTAACAGTATTTTTGATAAAATATTAAATATCCTACTAGGTTAAGTAATTATGTAAAGAACTTGTAGACTATCAGCTTCAGATAATAAGCCTGCGTGGAGGAACTTTCCTACTCAACCGTATTTGTGCACTTAAAAAATTCTATGCACTGAAATTCGAACTTGGGAGCTGTCATTGATAGACTGACTGTAAGTTCGCCGAACACAATAATTCAATTCGGAGGTCAAAAGCACTCTACGACGGCTTCTGCCTTACCAGATAACTCTCACGTGCAGAGTCTTAATTAAAATCAACAAACGGAACGCGAGACTAACCATCAGTTTTTAATGGTGATTCAAAACTCTGAATGCATTTTCTCATATTCGTTTCTATGGACGTTACCTCTCTTTTAACAGTCTCTTTTATTAAAATACTCATATTTTGACAATATCTTGATTCTTCTTGAAAACGATCTTTAGGTCTGAAAGCATCTTCTGCAGTACTATCAGCCTTGTTCAGTACCAAAAAAAAAAAGTTTTAAACATCCTTAAAAAAATAAAATTATCATACGATTTAGTGTAAATCAAGTAACTACTTAGAGGAATACCTGGCTCACCAAGCAGCCGAATTTTTGTAATTCGACTTCGGATCGAATTCCAGTGAACGAGCTGGCTTTGTACTTTTTAACCATGTGTAACGTGTGTACGAGCAGGTTTCAAAATCTATCACGAAGGTATATTTTTCCATAAGCAGATAATTCTCACATTACTTTATCTCAATAAACCTAAACAAATGCAATTGAATGGATACCACGTATTGAACTCAAAAAAGCTGATTACAGCTTATATACTCTTTTGCAAAGAAATCGAAGTACCATGAAGGAAGTGGTTGTTTTTGATGAAATTGAATATGTGTATAGCTGAAACACAGGTAATAAAATGATTAAAAAATCAAGGTCATAGTACCTGTTCATGGCTCACAAACACCCACTGACTGTTCAAATTAGTGGTTGGTCAAACAGCCCCTGGCAGCAATGTAAGTTTGAATTCGTCGAGGCAAGGAGTGCTAGAGGTTCCTAATGTCATCATGTGACACATTCTGCCAAGCATTCATCAGTTGTCGCTCCAGATCTGCCATATTTTGTAGTACCCGAATCTGGCGGCCTACCATATCCCAGTCACGCTTGATTGGTGAAAGGTCTGGTGACCTTGCTAGCCAAGGAGGAATATCAACGGCACGGAGACAGTCCAGAGATTATACGAGTGGTACGTGGCCTGGCATCATCTTGTTGGAAAATGGCCCCAGGATGATGTCTTATGAAGGGTAATGTAACTGGCCGCAGAATGATACCAACATATCGTTGGGCTGTAAAAAGATGTACGGAGGATGACTAAAGATGACCTGCTGTTATAAGAAATAGTGCCCGACACCATCACACCAATGGTTATGGCTGTATGCCTATGTAAAACAAAGGCTGATTGGGACTGCTGGCACCGTACTTTCCAGACACGAACACGGTGGTCATCTGCTTCAAGAGTGATGTGAGATTCATCGCTGAACACTATACGATGCCAGTCTGATGGCAGCCATGATGATCGGCTGCGACACCATTCCAGAGGACTCCGCCAATGTTGTGGGGTTAAAGGCAAACGTCTTATAGGCCTCTGTGAGCGTAACCCCGTTTGAGACAAGTGCCATGACATGGTGGACCGTACCACGGGAGGTATAGACGTGGCTGTAGTGTGTTGAATAGTCGACAATGATATGGTCGGGGTGGTTCGGGCCTGGTGAACAATCATACTGTCTTTGCCTCGCATTTGTGCTTGGCCATCCAAAGCCTTCATTTCGTCGGCAATTTCTTTCTAGCAACTACTGCTGCCAGCATCTTTGCACAGCAGTGTCTGTACGCTGCAGGTGGCGGCCTATTGCTCGGTATGACCATTCAGCTTCAGGCAACTCTACAATGCGACCATGTTCAAAGTCGTTTAGTTGTCTGTAAGGTTTTCAATTCGTCGTAATGTCATCTTTAGTTGCTTCTTTACGGAATTACAATAGCAGCAACAAAACAAACAAACAAAAATTTCCGCCTCCGTTACTGGTTTTATACTTTGCGAATTGCGGAATAGAAATGCGCTCTATGATCACAATTCCTGTTCATTTACCTTGAAACTTTGATCGTTTGCAGGAATTAGCTTGCAGTCGTTGTAGCTGAGGGTGAAGGCTTACAGATGAAGACAACAAAACATGAACTTGACGTATTTCCAGTCTTTATTTCTACACATATGAAATCACCTCCATAGATTTTATCCAATCATAATGAAATCCGAGACATTTCTATGTTTTAATCATAAAGAAAGTACAATAAATTTCTATGCACATTGATTCTTAAAATTAAGACTCAGGCAGTTTAGACGGGGAAGCAAAGCGAGGAGATATTAACAAGGTGGAAGTTAGGAAAAGAATGACGCAAAATTAAAACGTAGCTAGCTCGCCTTAGATTTTTATACCAGAGTAGGTGCAATTATAGAGGCAAGCTATGATTGGTTAATATTAGTTTTGGTTACCTTTTTCAAGCAGTGTTTTGTAACGTCAAAAGATCTCAAATTTGGGAGAAAGTTGAATTTAGGGGTAGATCACCAAATCTAGAATGTTAATTTTCAGGTCGCCAATTATTTGTTTAAAGCAGGAACCTTATTTTGTTATTTCTTACAGACACACACATATATAAGTGCACGTATATACAGTAGTACATAGGTACCTTCTGTAAGGGAACACCTCTTGTGAGTGATGATATACACCAGGGTACCTGGGTTCAGGGACCCAGGGACTCTTTGTAGGGCATGTCACATTTCGAATTGTAGGATACAAGAATGTGTGAGATATAAAAGTTGGATTAGATACAGTGACATAATACGAGTATAAGGTATGATTTTATAATTAATATTTTTAATGTATAATACTACATGTGAACTGATAGGTATTAGTAGCAATGGAAAATCTAGGAATATGAGTAATGTCAAATAGTGAATCACTCGACGCCACAAGAAAAATGTAGACTTCGAAAATGCTTCAAAAATACTCCAAGGGTCATTCGAACTAGTGACTGAAGAGTCTGTAAGGAAGAGTGAGTGCGAAACTAACGGTGCATTTTACATTAGTAAAAAAAAAAAAAAAAAAAATTAACTCATGGAAAGGGCCTTTGAAAGCAGGGAATTGAACCATTTGACTAGTACGACTTTTCTGTATTGACTCATAAGTTGTAGTAGAACATATTTTTCTCATATAAAATCCCAAACGATATATCTGTAATGGTTTCAGATTATTTGCGTGCAATATTACAGCAAATAATTATTTAAAAAGAACATGTTTTTCTCAAGTAAAATCTCGACAGATACATCTGTAACCGTTACAGATTATTTGCTTGTATTATTATAGCAAGTTATTATGTGAGTAGAAGATACTTTTCTTACGTAAAATTCCAATGGTTGTATCCGTAAAGGTTTCAGATTATTTCCTTCTAACATCCCATTAAGTAATTATACATGTAGAATATATTTTTCATAGGTGAAATACTAAAGTATATGTCTATAAAAGTAATGCATGTTTTGTCTAAAATGATGCTTATTATAATGTATGTATATATATACATACAGATATATGCAAGTGAATCATAATAGCGTGGCTTTTTAAGTGTTTTCAACAGCATTCAATGTTCTTTTTCAAAAGGAAACATTCTGTTTTAGAATATTTTTGTTTTATGAAGAGAAACTTATGTCTGATATTATTGAGAGGCCTTTCATATTATCATTTTGATTAATTTAAAAGTTCAAATCGATATGCTACTCCTTACATTAAATCATTATGTTATAACATACTTAAAATAATGGAAAGGCATCTGGAATTTATATTTGGCATGTAAAATAGCTGAAAAAAAAAAATGTTTTATTTGCATGTTTTATTGTAAATTAATAAGATATGTTCTAGAACTTCCTTTTTAGTAATTTTAGCTAAAATAGAAACATGTTGCTTTAGATTTAACTTATATGAGTAAATGTGTTGCATGTTGATATGATCATATTATTACAGTAAAAGACACTTTGTGAAGAAGAACTCAGAACAGCTGTTCTTCATGTTTAAAAAATATTATATTCTCTCCTTCTAAAAATGACATTCAGTAAATTAAAGAATTCAACAAAGCAATGAAATCCTTTTGTTACTACAAGGAATTCAAAATTTTGTTTATACGCTTGAATTACAATGTCCAACTAATCTTTTTATTCTTATCTGCACTCAGTGTTTGTCAACAGTCTGCTATTGTTTGAATGATAGATGGTAAATGTATAACTTTTTTACCTTACCTTCAAATAATTTCCTTTGAATTAATAGATAAAAGTCTCTCATTAAAAACCTAATGTCATGCTTTTTGAATAAGCATCACCAAATAACCTTAATTTGTAAAACCTTGCTTCCATTAAAATTTTTAATACTTAAGACAATTATGCCTTTAACAGATTTGTTTAAAAAATTAATACTTCAGTTTGGCTTAAAATTTAATGCATTTTAATTTTACCTGTAATTTTTTACAAACATATGTAATAAATCTTTTAATATTGACCATTTAGTATAAAGTAACAAAGTATTCCTAGTTTTTAAAAATTTAGAGATTTGCATACAAAATTGTGAGATATACATATGACAACAGAAAACAAACTTTATGCCCTATATATATATATATTACAGCATGTTAAGAAAGTTTATTGAATTTATAATTTTATTGTGAAACACTATGAAACAAATAATATGCTAATTAAAATACAGAAGTAAAAATAATTTATTACTTAATTCATAAACTTTACACAAAAACCTGAAAAAAGAATTAATTAAAAAATAACACAATATAACATTTCATAAAAATTCGTTTCGACTGCTTGTTAAAAATGAATGGTTTTTCCTCTTTGCACATGTAAACGTCTCCTAAATAAAGAAAAAAACATTTCTTTTAAAATCATAATCCTCTTAAAAAAAAGCTTATAAAAATAATGTTAATAGATGTTTTAAACATGTACTTATAATCATATTTCTTTATAATATCTTGAGTAATTAAGAACAGCTTAAATTCTTTAAAAAATTGGATTACAATGATCCGTCTCATTACAACAAGCTACCTCATTCAATCACTTTTTAAATTTAACCAGCATTCTCTATAATTTGAATTTCTCTCATTCTCATTGTTGTTCTTGCAACTTCTTAGGCCTCAGATCATACATAAATAATTAGAAAAGGTGAATATGCTGCTGATATGGCAAAATTGCACAGTGAATGGCAGTTGGTATTTGCTTTCAGTATCATAGATCATTTTTTGTATTAGGCTGACATAATATTCAACAATTAGAAGAGAAAGGTTCAACGAGGCCTTTAGTGTGCAAAAATTTGGCTTTGTTAGTATGACGAAAACAATCATTATGTCGATAAATCCATTTTAAAATCTTAAGGTGTTCCTTTTCTGAATGCATTAAAAAGGGGAAAATTATGCAAATATTTTTTTAAATTTTCAGAATCTGTTTATAAAGCTGGGTGGGGTGGAATATGCAACGCAATACAGTAATTACGAAGATCATTGCTCATGGTAGTACAAACGGAAAGGTTATAACTTGCATACTGTATAAGACGACACAAATTGCAGTTATAGATGCATTAAATGCTTTAGCAGTGGACAATAATAAGAGTGAAATTCAAGGTATAGGGAAGTAGGAATGAAAATTATTATAATCAGATACTGAAGTCAAAAGTCGTTAATTCGGACACCCATAATCCGGAATGATCTATAATCCAGACCTCAAAGCTACAAACTTTTTGCGCATGTGTCGCATGGGCGTTTATGTGTGCGCGTAAGACCTTTACGGCTGCGAATATGCGTGCACATAAAACGTTTACACATGCGCGTTTAATGTATAACAGACGGTATAAGCTAAGCTAAAATTATCTAATTCTATCTTTTGCAGACTGTTAGAGCAATTTTATAAAAGCAAGCTTGAACTTTCGATTATATCAAATAGAATTTCCGATATATATTTGCTAATATGTAAAGGTATGTGAGTATGAAAAAAAAATGTAGTATAATGTACTAAAGTGAAAGTATGTTTCGAAATCTGTTTATCACTTTCACGCTGCTCGGCGGGGGGAACGCCGCGGCGCGCAATGAATTGGAAGTTGATCTGTCAGCACTATCCTTATCTTCAAGGCAGATTTTTTATTTTATTTGTCTTATAATTCCTTACTAAATGTAGTATTTCATCTCGATGTACTCCGTCTTTGATATGACTTAAAACAAGTTTCTCGTCATTATAATTCGCTTCCGATATTGGTTATTGGAAACAAAAAAATTTCGATTGACAAATTAGTCGGTATTCTCGACACAGCAATTATAGGACTTGAAGAGCGGAACTTTGTAACTAAACAAGAAATTATGTCTGTTTAATAGAATTAAAGAGAAAGTATTATCACATGAAATGAAGCAACTTAAACAACTTACATTGAAAGAAATGTTTAATAAAGTAAACAAATAAATATTAAGCTTTTTCTTTTTGTAAATTTTAATACTTTTTAGATCATAATTGTTCTTTATTTCATAAATTACGGTTTCATATTTTTAATTTTGTAATTTCTGCATGCCATATTACCAGATTTAAACTGATGATCTATAATCCGGAATCGCCGAAGTCCCGACGAGTCCGGATTAACAACTTTTGACTGTATATCCTTAATTAAAAAAGGTCTTTCTATCTTACTCTTTGTTTTGCAATTCTACTTATTTTTTCACTCTCCGCTTGAATCTGATATCAGTTGATAACGTCTTTTTATACAAAAATAATCCCTTCACTTTCTTTGGCCTCCATCATGCATCGTCACACACCAGTAAAGGTTGATCTAATAACATCTCACAATTAATCCTTTCACTGAATCTAAAATATACGCATCCTCCGAACTTTGTTTTCAAAAAAGACACTAATCAGCATTTTATCTAATGCATTCAAGTGCTTTTTTTTTAAATACATTCTCAAATAATTAACTCTCTCCTTCTCTGAATATTCACTCCCCGGCAAAAACACCCACCTCAATTCATTTCACTAACCATGCATTCCCCACATCTCTTATCCCTTCTCGCTCGCTTGAAAAAAAACTTTCAACCAGACAACTCGATAACCAAACACACTCAGCCCTCGGGAAAAAAATTGTGCTAGAAAAGACACTCAAAAAACTCATGTCAAGATGTGCAAGAAAAGACATTTTATATACTACTCAGGATCTTGTTGCAATCTTTACATTCATAACGCCATAGACGCTCCTTCAACTTTCAGCAATATCTATAGCAAAGGCTGGCCGGATCTCACCATTACTACAAACAATGCAATTTCCTTAATTCAAAAATGTGAAGTAGTAGACACAGAAAGCTGCTCTGACCACAAATTTGTCCACTTTCACATCAACACAGTCATTTCAACTATCATCTTAAAGCGTTACAGACTACATGGCAGCAAACTACACATTCTTAAAAGACTTCTGTCTGAAACTCTTACCACTGAAGAATCACGCCTGCAAAGTTGCTCCAACCAAATGCAGCTTGATACTTTCACACAGAGTCTCATAAAAATTTTGCAGCGGTGCTGCGACTTTACACTCCCAAGCAGAACGGTAAAAAAATTCCAAGAGGTCCTATGGTGGTCAAGAAATTTACGCCAACAGAGACAGAAATCACGAGCTCTACGAAGAGGAATTGCCAAAACAACTGAAGATTCCAAAAAAGGCCCATATTCTCTCCGTTTACAGATAAGAAAGGGCTAATTATAAGCGCAACATCCTTACCACCAAGACAAATAGCTGGAGGAAATTTTGTACTGAAAATACGTATCCATTTGGCATCTTACCTAAGCTGTATGCAGAAAACTATCAGAGAGGATATCTCTACTCCGTTAACACGAGATGGCATCTCCTTTACATACCAGGAGATTCGACAAGTTTTCTGCAAGTTACCTAAGGAAAAAGCACCGGCCTCTTGATGGTTTGGATTTTAATATTCTCAATATATTAGCATATATTAGCTCAGCATATAGCTCTCGTCCCTCGTTCTTCCTGCAATATTTTAAAGGGCTGTTTAAACACCAACTGTTCCCTAAATCAATCTTTCAAAACAGGTCAAGTGGTTCCTTAAAAAACACACAGAACCACAGGACCCATGCTTCCTACGTCCCATCTGTCTACTTCTAGAGCTTTAGGTAAGGTGCACGAAAAACTCTTAGTACAACGTCTTGCTTACCACTTTCAAGTCACCAACTTCATCAGCCCAATTCAATATGGTTTTCGACCAAGACTGTACACTAAAAGCTCTGGAGGAGATATGCCGCAACATTGAATTCAACACGACGCAACAGCTCCACACAGCCTTCCTCTCAATCGATCTCAAAAGTGCCTTCAACATGATTTGGTGGCCTGCCATCAAGCAAGCGCTCAGAATGGCCCACAAACCTTTATCATACATTTGCCAATTACCTCAGACCACACTTTAGGCCCACAGCCAAGGTATAACAACCAAAGTATAACAACGAGGCTGCCCCCAGGTTTCATGTGCGGGCCCTATACTTTGGAACACAACTTTTAATTCTATTTTAGCTGCTAAATGGCCAGAGTATGTACACCTTATCGCATATGCTAACGATGTGGCATTTCTCGTGAAAGGACGAACTAGAGCAAAGAAGCACAAACATCTGCAGTCAGTTTACAGCCCTGTGTCATAATCTAAAACTCAAGATTTCTGCAGACGTCAACTGCCTTGATAATTCCTATGCCGCTTACTAACCCCACACGAAAACCGTGCATCATGCTTGAGAGGAAGAGCATCAAGATCATCCCAGAATTAAAATTCTTGGGATAAAGGTCTGACATGGATCCCACACTTGCATTACTTAAGAACTAAAACTGAAGCTATTGCACGGAAGGCTCGCCAATTTCAAGGCACGACATGGGGACAAAACCCCTACAAAATTCTTTACACCACTTTTATTGAGAAGTTCATCCTTTATGCAGATATCATTTGGGCTCAGCTAATGAGGGGCCGATTACAAAAACAACTGCTCGCTATCCAACGGCCGTTTGCTCTTAACCTGCACAAGGCATACAGGACAGCAACCACTAATGCCGTCATTGTCCTCGCAGGACTGATTCCTCTTTATATTCGAGCAGAACAGGAAGCTGCCTATACCAGGATCATTCAGCTAAGACGGGATGCCAGTTTTCATAACATAACATTCAGCCCAGTAGAGTATGAATGCCCTATCAACCCCACGCTGCACCCAGGGCGGGAGGGCTTGTGCTTACATGTTGAGACCTGTGGAGAAACAGCAATCGGCACCATCAATACATACAAGAAGCAGACCTTACCATCTTTACAGGTGGCTCCAAGACCTCCGATGGAGTAGGCAGCGCCTTTGTACATTTCGATGGCGCACATATAATTCACGCTTGGAAAGGTTATCTACAATCCTGGAACAGTGTTTTCCAGGCAGAAGCATTAGGCACAACAGGGGCTATTGAATACGCTCTGGCTTCACCCCCTCCTTCACCACTATTTACTCAGACAGTATGTTCACTCTTCTGGCAGTCATAAATCATAACCACTCCTCTCTACTCAACATACAGCATCTTCTGCAAAGCAATGCCCATACACATACACTAGTATGGGTCAGAGCACACGCAGGTCTGATAGGCAATGAAGCAGCCGACAAACTTGTCAAAGAGGCAAGTAGCAACATAAACGTAGAGGAAATCAATATTCTGGCACTTCCCTCTTACCTGAAAAAGGAGCTCCTTCAAAAAGCTACCCTAAAATGGCAAGAAGAAGGGGACTTACCGGAAGACGTACATTCGATTTCTTCCTTACTTTCTCACGGACCGTTTCATATTTATGTCCTTCACTTTGG